TCTCCTCTCTCCCCCAGATCATGTTTGAGACCTTCAACACCCCTGCCATGTATGTGGCCATCCAGGCTGTGCTGTCCCTGTACGCCTCTGGTCGTACCACTGGTATTGTCATGGACTCTGGTGATGGTGTGACCCACACTGTGCCCATCTATGAAGGCTACGCCCTGCCCCACGCCATCCTCAGGTTGGACCTGGCTGGCAGGGACCTCACAGACTACCTCATGAAGATCCTGACTGAGAGAGGTTACAGCTTCACCACCACAGGTTAGCTCAAACACTGAATAAAACAAGCTAATATTTTAAAGCAAGGGGGAAACTGACAGGGGAAAAAATGGAACTGGCTCTAAATTGTATTTTCTTGTCTTACAGCTGAGCGTGAGATTGTGCGTGACATCAAGGAGAAGCTGTGTTACGTTGCACTGGACTTTGAGCAGGAAATGGGCACTGCTGCCTCCTCTTCATCCCTGGAGAAGAGCTACGAGCTGCCTGACGGACAGGTCATCACCATTGGAAATGAGAGGTTCCGTTGCCCTGAGGCCCTCTTCCAGCCCTCTTTCCTTGGTGAGTTGAGTCAGGAAGACTAAATGAAATCTACGTATGGACAAAGTTTGTTGAAGGGAGTTAAATGGTTAGGAAGAATAGGGGTGTTGTAGCAGCAAATAGAGTTGAGAATTGTTTTAAATTTTCTCAAAAGTATGTGAAACACATTACTAACTTTTTACTTTACACCCTCTCACAGGTATGGAGTCTTGCGGTATCCATGAAACTACCTTCAACAGCATCATGAAGTGTGATGTGGACATCCGTAAGGACCTGTATGCCAACACTGTGCTGTCTGGAGGTACCACCATGTACCCTGGCATCGCTGACCGTATGCAGAAGGAAATCACTGCCCTGGCACCCACCACCATGAAAATCAAGGTATAACTCAACCTTATTATTCAGACTCACATCCTCCCTGAGGCAATGATGCAAAAAATGTTCCAGAAAGCTCTTTACCTCTACTGCCACTCAGTGGACAAACATGGTTAATGCAGTGTTCACGCTCTGTTGCTTCTCCTTCAGCTGTAGACTTAAAGTACTTGTAGGATGTAAATGCATATGCAAACAGATGTGGATTGATTTATATAATTTAACATCTTATTTTATCTTGCTCCCTGCAGATCATTGCTCCCCCAGAGAGGAAGTACTCCGTATGGATCGGAGGCTCCATCCTGGCTTCCCTGTCCACCTTCCAGCAGATGTGGATCAGCAAGCAGGAGTACGATGAGTCCGGCCCCAGCATTGTCCACAGGAAGTGCTTCTAAAGAGACTGTCAGTCCCCTCCCCCGAAACACACACTGCTACAAACCCAAACGACTGGCTCTGCATACATGCCTATACCAACACACTGGTGTATGCTGAGCCCACAACACCTCTTCCCATTTTCCCTCATCACTATGGCTATGGCACCATGCCCCCTGATGGGGAGAAACTCTGCAGGAAGTCCAGAGCGTCCCAGGCGGTGTGAATGTGTGAGGAACATGATGTCCATTGTCGTGTTTGTGTAGGTCATTCCAGATGTGTTTGTTCACCACCTTATTTGCCTCTATGAAGGTTTATTCTCTGGTGGGCCCACTGCCCAACAGACCTCTGTAGTATTGCTTATGTAAATTATGTAATCTGAAACTTGTTTTGTTTTTGTACTTTCAGCCTTAAACGATACTTGGTCCAGTTTGTTTTTGTCATTATGCAAAAGACAAAGCTTCTACCTTGTATGGGGGTATATGAAGGATTGTGCATGGGGCTCCAAGCCTCTGGTGTACACAACAACCCAATAAAGCGCACATGTCTGAGATTCTGGTCTGTCTGCTTGGTATTTATTCATCTTAGCTGATACGCATTAAAGGGAAAGCATTAATCATCCCAGGATTTATACTGTATCAACCACACTAACTTTCACATATACAAAGATCAGACACACGTTGCATCACACTAAGATTAAACATCACTGAGAAGACCTTTTCAAATGTCACAAAAGAAGCACAGGTGTAAATAGGTGGATTGCTGAATTTCATTTAGCTGCTTCAGTTTCAGGTCCTGGTGTTGAATAGAACAGGGCCATCATTAGTGCCAGTAACACCTGTTGGTTTATACTATAGCAAGTCAAGTCTGCTGGGGAAAAAGGCCTATACTAAAACACTTATCTTGTGCATTCAAATATTGCTATTAAAGGCTCTCAACCAATCATTTTTTGTAACTTATTTATACTTTTGGTCCATCCTGAAAACTTGTCAACACTGCACACCAGTTCTCAACCTTTTTTGTGTGTCACGGACCCTAAATTGACACAGTTTTGCTTCAGAGACCTCCATCTGAAAAGATTTTTATTATTAACTTCGGTTGAGAAGATAACCGTGCAGGAAGTGAAAGCTATGATCACAACAGTCACTCTTATGACTAACTCACATGTGGCTCACTTCTGTAGTGAATTACATAGTGAAAATAAACTACTACTGAGAACCACTAGTGTGAAGCATTAAGTGGCATAATTCAACCTGATTGTTCTTAGAGGGCTAAAACTGCAAACTTTTACCTCAAGCATACAGGCCGGGTTTAAGTGTTGTACTCTAAAGACAGACTTTGGGTGGAGTATCGCTTCACTGTGAAACTTTTTGTTATAGTGCCATCATGTGGACAACTACATTAGTATAAGAAGTAAGTATAAATCAGATATAATGATTTGTATCAGTAACTTTGTAGGACTACTCAGAAGTCATATATGGTTGTGAAACTGAAAACAATAAGTCACAGAGAGTAACTCAGTTTCATTAAAACTTCACATTTATTATCAAAGGAGCCATGTGCACTGATTGTTAATTTACGGACATTTTTTTAACCTTCAGCTGTTGAATTTTGATATGATTAGTTGGAGCACATACTGTACTGCACTCTGCTGCAGGAAAGGTTTTAGAAGTTTGTACTGTGTGTTATTTCCCAGTGATAAATATCCATCACAGGCTTTGTGAGCATTTGATAAAAGCAGGAATTCTTCTGTCATCATCATCATCATCATCATCACATTGACATAATCCATTGTTTAAAAAGCAGTTTTTCCCCTTAATCCGTGTCCCCACATATTAGCAAATGTTTACTTCTTTTTTTCTAAACTGTGAAATTAACATTTTAAGCAATCGCTCCCATTAACTTTGGATAGTAATCAAGTAACTACAGAACAAATTTGTAGTTCCATGCTCATGTGTTATCTGCTTGTTCACCTTTTCTGTCAGAAAAGCAGCCAAACACTGCATTTATATCCACAAAATAAAACAAAAAGCAGTCAACCTGTAATATCATAATTGTCTTATTTGAATTTGATTTTGGCCGAGTAAATTCACCAACAAGTTTTTATTTATGCTTTTCATTAAGAAAATCACAGTATATTATAATCAGTGGTGGAAATTAAATGAGCACATTTACTCAACTAGGCTACTGTAATTCTAAAGGTTGCCTACTTCCATTTTACCGAACTTTATACTTCTACTATGCTACACTTCAGAGGGAAATATTGTTTATTTACATTTACAGCTATAGTTAACAGTTACTTTGAAGATCAATGTTTCACATACAAAATATATGCTCTGTTTATAATGTATGATGCATTATAGATTAATAGTTTGAGATGAAACTACCCCACAGGATAAAAAAGTACCTAAATTATGCACAGCTAAAACGTAAAATGCTGCTTAAACAGTAATGCATATGTTTTTGGCTAATCCAATACTATAGCCTAACATCACACTGATAGGGGGCATTCTGCTGCCTCATACATGTTGCTGCTTCTATTCTTCTACTTAAATAAGCTTTTGCAAGGTTTTTACTTGTAGTGGACCAGTGTAGGCACCAATAATCACTAATCAAAACCATACATCGTGCAATCACATCCATAAGGCTAGCGTACTTCAGATTACACAAAATATCCACCTGTTTTGTGTTAAACCACAATATCTTTTTGACTCTGTTACTAAGATAAGAACAAATAAGAACGCTATTATCGTTAAAAAGCCTAGTCCCAATTAAACACACAGTCCCTTACAATTGTCCAGTGTGGCTACACATTTGTTCAATTAGATGCCTGGTCTGGTGGCCAAGCAGCTCATTTTTTCTTTACACAAGTTTTTCAGATGTATAAAAGCGGGTTGTTGGCTACCTCAAATTATGTGTCCATTCCTTGATTACCCTGTAAGTTATTCATATTCCCTTAGTCCGTAAGGGTCCTCAGATCAAAAGAATCAAAAGGTATTTTCATAAAAATTAATCCAAGTTGTGAGTATTGTTTTAACAGGATAAGTTAAAAAGTGTTACTCACTCTCTCTGATGCGCTGTCTGTCAGAGCTAGATCAAATTAATTATTCATAATTAATACATTATCTGGAGTCTAATTTTTAAACAAGTAATATTCATACTGCTTTAAATAAACAATTTGATTGTGTTTCAAATCTTTGCCAAGCAACAGTTTTGTGTGCAAAGAATTAGAGGCCTGTCCCATATAGACTCCTGTCCCAAATATTGCCTGGGCTATTAATTTAAGTCTTACTGTATGAACTCCAAAAAACATTTGGTAAATTTCTATCTAATAAAAACAAATTAGGTGTGTTATATCTAGGTTTTCATCTCCTTCGTACTGTTTCATGTATGTATTATTTTTTTGTCATATTCTTTTTTCATGTTGGATTTTGCTGTTTGACTTCATTTATATGAACATTATTGGTATATTTGAAAAATCCTGCAGTGCAAAGAAAACCATAAGTACTTTAAACACTGTAATGTCTCTTTACTGTTTTTACTTATAATTTTCTTCTTTCTAAAAAAATAATAATTAAAATTTAGTACAAACTACAACTTTTAAGAAAGCTAACGTTACTCTTGCTACTTTTAGAAAATCGTATCGGACCGACAGGAAGTGTGTCCGTCACTGACAGACTTCCGTCAGTGTGCAGCAGCAAACTTGATCCGTCCTGTCAACGGCTGGACGTTCACACCACCTCCGGTTCAACAGAAAGCGGCTTGATGGAAACATGAATCGCTGCTCGGCTGGATGAACATCAAAAATAACGTTTGAATCCCAGTGATCATGAGTGGGACCGTGAGAGGGATTTCAGAGGACATGGACCGACAAATCGTACAGGTAGGTTCACTGACACACCTCGACAACACATTAACAAACGGTAACGGTAACGTTACAGCTGAGCTGACGAAGTGAACTAACGTTAGCTAATGTTAACGCTAAGTGAGGTTTGACCAGGCTTCACCCAAATTTCTGCTCATTTTTCTTTCAACCAAGTTTGGTTAAAGGCACAGACAGTGGTAGAAAGACGTGTGGTTAGGTGTCTTCTTTTTATTAACTAATTTATAGGAGTGGACCGACAGACAGACAGACAGACAGACTTCAGCTGGTAGTAATACTGACATTAATGTCTGTACACTTCTGTAAATTGCTGCATAGTGTCTGAGCTCAGGATTCAAAAAGCTATATCATTGAAACATACATATTTGTACTTTCTATTCGGCTAATGTAGCGTGGTAATGGTATCACCCCCTAATCTAAAAAATGGCACTAAATTGTCATATCACCCAGCCATGATGTAGTTTCTCAATAACAGATTCTCTCTCTGTGTTGGACCTCACTAACAAAATACCAAGAATTAGAAATGCTACCTAAAGCATATAAAAACAGTACAGGTAGAGTGATTTCAGCATTGTACCGGGGACTAGAAAAGAACAGGGGAACCTCTACACTGTACATTAGAGACAGGTGGACAAAAGAAAGTAAAATACAATTAACGGAAGAGGACTGGTTTAACATTTGTGACACTCAGCGAAACCACCACCAGCTCCAAGATGTGGAAAGAATTTTGTTGGAAAAATATAACCAGGTTCTTCATCACTCCTAAGATAAAAAGCAAATTTCACCAGACTGTTCAGCAAACATGCTGGAGAGGGTGTGGGGAGCTGAATGTAGGACACACTCACATTTTCTGGGAATGTATTAGAATAAGAAAATATTGGAATGATGTATGGCTGGAATTGAAAACTATACTGGGGTATGAACTACAAATGTCATGTAAGGTTTTGTACCTGTGTAATTTGACAAGTGAAAATGTTCAATGTGAAGATAAATATCTGGTCAAAATTCTGTTAGCTGCGACCAAAAAGGCAGTTACTAGGAATTGGTGCAGAGAGGACCCTCCCACTTTGAGGAACTGGTTGGACATAATGGAGGAGATATTTGATATGGAAAGACTCACACATATACTGAGAATCCAACAAGTTGAATTCAACACGAAATGGGACAAATGGACAACATATAAGTCTCACAACAGAGGCACCACTGGAGACCCTGATTGAAACCATAGATATTGCATCAAGAAGCTGTGTTTTCTACTGACACTGTCTATAACTTTTTGTTGTTTTATGTTCAAAATTAATAAAAATTGAGTATAAAAAAAAAGAAATGCTACCAGACATTAAGAAAAGAGTTGTTGCATCTAGGTGATTCTTTGTGTTGTGTTTGTTCAACTGTTGACTGAATACTCAGAGAATCTAAAAGCACTTAACTGTATCACTGTTTGCTGTCTGTCTCAGGCTGTATTTGACGAGGACACAATGTCCTCCACCTCAGTGGGGATGTCAGATTTGTCTGATGAGATCCTTCTGTGCATCCTCCACCATGTTCCAGTGTGTGACCTGGTGCTGAATGTGGCAAATGTCTGCCACAAGTTACACACACTGTGCCACGATAAGACGCTGCTCACAAACGTCAGCCTGTCTGAGGAGTATCTGGTAAAGCTGTTTATCATCACTAGAACTGACGAGGCTTCATATTGTTTAGTAAAGATCACTGTCACAGCTTCTGTTAATCTTTGAGTTCATGCATGTTTGTGGAACTTTCTGTGTATATTAAAAGCATGTCTTTCACAATGTGGAATATTTATTTAAATACTTATTTGTTCTTTGTCTCCTCTAGGCTGATGATCTATTGGTCCAGCGGTTATTGAGGCAGCTAGCCAATCACGTGCAGTCTCTCAGCCTAAACGGCTGCTACTGGCTGTCTGGCTCTACAGTGGAGCTTCTTGCTCGCTGCAGAGGAGTGTTGCACCTTGATGTCACCGGCTGTCGCCTCACTTCCCTGCGTCTATCCCGTATCCTCTCCTCGCTCTCTCTGCTCAGATCACTTGCTTTTGATGTGACGCCAGGCTTCAACTCTGCTCAGCTCAGTTCAGAGGCGGTGGATACGCTGAGCCGCCTGTCAGAGCTCAGACAGACACTGTTGACACCCAGCTATGGTGTGGTGCCATGCTGTGCCCAACTCCGCAAGTAAGAATCTGTTGGATTACTGAGATTTCACATGACACCTGTGTCCAGAATTACTCCTATATATTTACTTTTATCCATAATAATTTGATTATCTGGATAGCAGCTGTAGCATTTATGCATCATGTGGTGTCCACGGAAAAAATACCAGGATATCCAAAAATACCAAGATGTCCCACTTCATCCGGTCACATTTTGCAGTATGCAAGCCAGCATGTTTTTCTGGCTATTGTGACCCGACAGTCCCCTGCACAGGGTAATATTCATTACATTGACTGAGCCGCAGACAGATGTCCATACTGTATGCAACAGTACATACTTTTTAAGGGCAGCTGCAGTAACTACTAAAAATAAAAAGAGAAAGTTTCGGAGCACAGTGTTCCACCATGTTGGGGGCTCTGTTAGGCTGTACTAGGTAAATACTAACTCATCTTAGTTTAGCATGTTAGCATGCTAACAATGGCAAATTAGCACCAAGCACAAAGTATAACTGAGGTATTTGGTCATCAACCAAAGCATTAGACAGATAGAAGTTTTGACCTGGTGGTGGTGTTAAATGAAAAGTGAAGGGGTCGATTAGATTTCAGAGGGGAACAGAAATGTCTGTCATCAAAACTACAAAAGCTAACCTTAAGGTGGCGCTAGAGGGAAAGTCAGGGGTTTACCAAGTCAGCAGGATGTATCCTCTGGGGATCATGACTGTCTGCAAAACTTTTGCCAGTTTATCTTGTAGATGTCAAGATGTCTTATGGATGAATAAAATGTTTTGACCCGTTGGAGGCACTTGAGGAAAAGTCAGTGGATAACCAAATTCATTAGGCTGTATCCTCTGGAGGTCATGAGTGTGGCATTGTGTCACAATCAAATCCCTATTTTTTTAAATTAGTTGTTATACACAATGTTAAATACTAATTCAGAAAATTCAATGAGCATTTGTGTGTCATTTCAAAGCACATTATTGCTCTCTAAGGTCTTTGTTACTGTTTTAGTGCTACAGTTTTCAATGTGTGTGTTTGTGTTTGTGCATCGCAGGCTGATGCTGCAGTTTGACATCTCTGATGTAACCAGAGAGGGTATCGGCATTTGCTGTCAGTTAATGATGGGTCAGAGCAGTGTGCCACATTATCAACAGCTGGAGGAGTTCACTGCCAGGCTGGCTCCAGGAGAGGTGAGTGTGGGTGTGCATGTACATGTAATGTGTTCCCATCTGCATTTTATACTGTGCAGTTTGTTACCAGTGGATCTGTGTGTTGATGTCCTCAGGTAAACCAGACCTTGCTCCTGCTCTACCTGGCAGTGTTCAGCGTTCATGTTCCAAAGCGTCTCAGAGTTTTCCTCGTGTCAATTCCTGGTCCAAACCCTGCTCACTGGCCCGCTGCTCCCTCACTGGCCCAGAGCTTAGGTCAACAAGGTGACCTGGAGGCGCTGCAGCTCCCTCGTTCCTGGCTGGATTCCTTATCCCTGAAGCGAGCCCTGGAGGGAAACAGTCCCAAGCACTTGAGCTTCAGCCGCTGCCCAACGTTGTGGCCACAGGTGTTCCAGTCATTGCTGGAGGGAGGAGTCAGAGACACTAAGCAACTGACCAGCCTGAACCTCAGCGGGATCAACAAGGTCCTTTACTCAGAGTGTAGGAGTGTGGAAGATCAGCTGGTTCCTGCCACAATGAGCCAGTTGGCAGTCGGCTGCCCCAACATCAAACAGCTGAACCTGATGCACACACACTATCACCATGAAAACACACCTGTTGTAGGTGGAGAAACACACCTGTGTGCCAGCTTGGCCAAGCTCACACACCTGCGCTCTCTCACTCTGCCTGCCTGCACCTTGTCAGACGGTTTAAACAAACATCAAATCTCTACAAACAACACGTCTCCCTCTGCGTTGTTCCTGGGGTTAAAGAAGACTCCACGGATGGGGCTTCAGATTTACAAGCCTGATTCAGATTCTTCTGTGTCAGGGGACAGCACCTCAGGGCTCACTCTGCTCCTAGCTGGTTGCCCTTTTTTAGAGACCTTAGAGCTCATTGGTCCGGGTTTTGTCTCTGTGCTGCCTCGGCTTGAGCCCTGCACTCGTGCCACCGTGGAGCCTCGTGGCATGTGTGCGTGGGCACAAGGAGTCGGTGATGCACACTTGGCGGCACTTGAGGCTTTGCCTCGATTGCGTCGTCTGACTCTGGCTGGGCTTCCTGGGGTCCTTAAGGGGACAGGGCTGATACAGCTGACCAGGCACTGCAAGGACCTGCGGGTATTATCCCTTGCCAACATGGGATCGCTAAAAACCATGAACTACGCCCCCGCCTTGCTGGATACACTTAAACAGTGCACACAACTCCAGGAACTCAGGTCAGAAGATGTCTTTGTGTATCCTTCATTTACTGTAGCACTAACCATCAGACAGTCAGAAGTAATATTGTATGTCCCTTTAGTGATCAGATTTTCTTTCAGTCCAATAAAAGCAATTATTATTAATTAATTCTAATATTAAATGTATTATTTGAACTAATAATTTAATCTTAATGTTAAGCAGGGTGTTGAGCAGATTCAGAATCATTAAATGCTTGGTGAACTTTGTCATCACACAAATAATCCAGCCATTGTCTTTTAGCAGGTTTTACTGTTATTAATCTGTCTTTTGATATGGTGCAAAATAATGTGTTTTTTACAAAGTCTTATAATCTGTTATAAAAAGTTAGAATTAGCAGATTTTTTGTTTTTCTGATAATTATTGGAGTCCTTACACAGGCAAACCATGCACTCAAATTCACCCTGTAGTATACTTGCCCCCCTCCTTCAAAGTTGGTGCTTTAGATTCACTACAAAACATGGGGCAGTACATCAGTTAGACTAATTACATTTATGGATGCCATTTTGACGCATTTGCTCAGCTTGTTGTTTTTATTTATTGAATTTTTGTTTGTCTGTGTGTTTTAGATTAGAGCAGCCCTACCTGAATGCCAACGCGTCATTCTTTGAGGCTCTGTCCTGCTGCTCTCGTCTGCAGCGTCTCTGCCTTATCTCACGCAGCGGTACCTTTGACCCACCGTCTGCAGAAACCTTCATGGAGCGATGCCACCATGTCATCATGTGCCACATGTTCATGGGTGGCACTTTGGTGGCTTGTCGCACACTGCAGAAAGCTCTGCTGGACAGGTCAGTGCTTGTGCGTGAGGACAAACTCAACATCAAACATTAAACAGCAAAAGAAAATCTAAAATTCAGCTTTTCTTGTGTTTTCTTTCTGTTAGATTTTCAGTCGAGCGCCCGGCCCTGAGTGTGGTCATCTATCCACTACAACACGAAGACCTGCCTGCAGTCATCAGAGACATCCCACTGACACTGCTGGATAGGATCACTCTGTTCCAGAGCCACGTGGCCCAACCACCACATTTATCACCATTGTGACATCAGCAGAAAGCTTCAGTGTGACTGATGCTCAACAGCTGAGGTGCTCAGATCATTTTATTCTGCAGGAAATAAAAGACACAAATTAAAGCACTGGCTGTCATCTGCACAGTGTTTTCCGGTGTTGTGATTTTTGACATCAACATGTGTTTCAGGCTGCTCAACAACAACACATCAACCATGATTGTTTACATCTACAAGTCAGAGTAATGATGGTCTCCAAAGGGTGATTAGCTGGTGGGGAGTTTTTAGTTTACTGTTCCAGGACATTTCACAGTTGGGCCTACATTGTGGTTTCTCAGTCAAAAATAACATTTGTTACTTCATATATCACTCTGTACTTTAGAAAATAAAGTGCCAAAAATACAAAAGAAGGGATGTATTGTTCAGATATTTAGTACTGAGAATCTAAATAAAATGATGTTGTAATAAACTCCATATAAATTATTTTTAATTCTTGTCTTTGTATCACTTGTCTGTTCATGTCATATTTTTGAATGGTCACAACAGATACACACCAGTGTTTTAGTGTAGGTGGTGTCACCCAGTCCCCACAGTGGTGTCAAATAAGACTTGAGGAATAGTCTGACATTTTGGGAAATACGCTGACTTGCTTTCTTGCCAAGGTAGAAAAGACTGATATTACTGTGCTATTGCTAATTTTAAAGCTATAGCAGCTGGCAATTAACTTAGCATCAGCCTGGTTAAGAAACAGTCCAGCATTTAACCTCCCAAACAACTTATTTTCACTTGTTTTTGACAAAGCAAAATGACTCATTCTGCACAATAATATAGAACAAGAGGCACAGTAACAACTGATAACAACTCTGACATTTTAATCTGTTAATATCTGTAATAAAATCTAATAAATTATAAATCAGTGTTGATCATAGAATTACATGGAACAGTCTGCAACCATGCTAGCTGCTCTATGAGGTTTCACTGAGGCACAGTGATGCTTTTAGTTCAATGCTAACTCTGCTAGCATGACTAGGAATGTAAATGTAAATTACTTTTAAGATACATTACTGTGATTTGTTTAAATCAACCCAGCATTGATACTTAAGTCTTTCTGATTAAAAAAAATTTAAAAAAATCAAAGTTATGTATTCTCTGCAGTCTGTTATATGGTTTGCATCATTCACCGTCCTACTAAATAGCAATAATGCTCATCTCCACGGTGGACTCGGAGGGGCAGGAGCACAGAAAGTTTTCTAGCATGTAGGGCAGCCTATGTGTCCGTTAATCACCTGTAAGGGCTCCCTAGAGGATATTCACTCAGGTCTTTTGCGCACTGGGCTTCTGTAGAAACAGCGACAGAGCCAGGCATAAACATTCGAGGCATTTTCTGGCAGCTATGTGGACTATTTTCAAGCCATTTGATATCATGGAGCCCCTAAAATCTGCATCATTTGGGATAAGCATGATAGTTTACAATCAGTCTATTAACTTTTTAATATTTATAGATTCCTTTATTCCACTGAACTCCTTGGCATATTTTAGGTAGGAAAGGAATTTGGCATAAACAATTTACTTATCTTGAAACCTAATTTTGTTATACTATGCAGTAGTAGAGTTCACAAAATGAATATTAAGCTGTAACAATTACATTAGATTTCTTTAGGGAATGGCCTAATAGGGTAAACAACATGGGCATGTGTTATTATCTGAGTGACACACAGCTGAAAGTATTATAAAAAACATTTGGGGCTTTTGAGACAACATTGGGTGTCCCCCGCCCAGCCTCTGTGTAAAAGACACTCCATCGTGTCTTATCTACCCTAGGGGCTTGCAAGCACCTTAAGAGCATAGGGACACCCCTGTCCTCCCAAGTCCACCAGTGGTGACATGAGGTAGTTGACACTTTTAGGCTGGACCTCTATTCCAAGTCACACAGCTGGGCAGTGAATGCGACATACAGCCCTGGGTAGAGTGGCTTTGTGAAAGTGGTTTCCTCTCTGTGCATCAGCTGCAGCGTCGTGTCACAGACACAGTAGTAGGTCAGACTACCCGCCTTATGATCGAGGTACACACCGACTCTGGAGGACTGAGGCTCCGGCACCTCAGTCTCCTCATCATTGTGTCTGAAACATTTGCTGTTACTGTTTATGTCTAAACTCCAGGATTTGTCATTGCACCCGAACGCACACTCGGAATAATAGTCTGATCTGCCCAGATCTTTGTACGCCACTGCTACTTCAACAGACCTGTCAAACTCCACCTCCCAGTAACAGCGTCCAGTCAGACCCTCTTTGCACAGCACCTGATAGAGGTGAGAGAACCTCTCTGGGTGTTCAGGGTAGTCCTGGACTAGATCTGTGAGCTCCGCCTTTCTGTTCCCCTCAGACAGGACCATCTCTCTGTATGCTGTGTTTGGGTCCAGGGTGAGGTGACAGTAATCTGAGAGGAGAGGAAGAAGGGGACAGATGTATAAAAAACTGAGTTATTTAAATACCTCAAGCCTCAACGTGTGACTGCATTTTGTTTCAGGAATAGGCCAACATCAGCACTCTCAACTGGGATGACTTTAAAACTTGCTGCGAGAGTGAAGGAATGATTTAACATTTTGTAAAATAGGCTTATTTGCATTCTTGCAAAGAGGTACGTATGCATATGTCAATATAGTTATATGTATGGCATTATATGAACCATCCATATAGTAACAAAATTATTGCCAGCATAGTAGTTCTTGGCACCTATGCCCAACTGTATGTTCAGTACATATCCTACAGAGTAAACAGCTAATTTCCATGGCATGTCATTGTTATCTGTTATCAATCTATGAGAGACTTTTTTTTTTTATCATTAAAAAAAAAAAGGACTCACATTTTAAGAGGTCTGCTCTGGTCTGAGGCTCATCCATCAATGAATCATCTGCTTCACCAAACACACAAACACACACACACATCACACATTCAGTCTCATATTAACAGTTCTTTTCATGTGCTTATATGTGACGCTAAAATCATTGACGTGTTATTTATAAGGATATTTTCGACATCAATGTATTACATAATATGGCAAATATTTAAAAAGTCTTTCATAAAATAATAATAAAACAGAGAACACCACATGAATTCATACAAAAAGTGTAATCAATCACAGTTTACATAAAACCATTCATATGGACAACAAACCATAATACACTTAAATTATTACTCAATGACTTCACTGAAATTTGATAACACAGTATGAAATGATAACGCTGATATGTTATTCTGGGACAAAGTCCATCCATGTGTGATGCTGGCACATTTGTTGCGTGGGTGTGTTGTGTGTGCTGTGTACCAGGGGCAGGTGTGGTGTTGAACACAGGGCGGAAGGGTGGAACTTGCTGGTCTTGCTCCTGTAGAAATCAATGTTAGTAATGTGTTTCTCTCTGTGACTCTGGCAGAATACAGAATATAATGGTGACTATGAAATTAATTGTAAAATAATCTAATGTAATAATCATCTTATAATGCATCCTATTGATTATGAACACACAATATTCATCTTAGAAGGTATTACACATACATACAATATGTTTTAAAGCATCACTTAATTCATTAATATGGGTTAACCATTCATGAAAATGAATAATCTCATGTTTTTTGTGGAGAAGAGGTCTGTTAAAAACATTTATTGTATTTTTTCTATCAAGTAATGTCTCCATTAAGAATATTTTTCCATAAGAATGGACGAAAACAAAACCCCACACATTTGAGTAAATATTTTTTGTGTTTGTAACATAATAGGGATCTGAATGGGTTAAAATGGGTGCAGACAGATGACACACACTTGTCATAAACTACATTTTACCATTGACGCTGGAGGTGCAGCTCCTCTCTTGCTGTTGCTGTGACTTTGGTTAAAACTTGTATCCGGGACGCCTGTGTCGACTCTGACAGCTTTGTCTTTGTATATTGCTAGTGTCTACAAATATCAAACTAGACTCTTACACAGTCTGGCTCACTGTCTTCACCTTGTTTCACCCCAGGAAGAGACGAAAAACTCACTTGTATGTTTATGACCAGCTGCGGGGAGTGGCCTTGGTCTACATTAAGTCAACGGCACAGGCATAGTAGTCTATCACCGATGTAGTCGATCGAAGCGGAACATCCTATACAGAGTAGATGAAGCTTTTAAAACAATGTACGTAACCTAGAAATAAGCAGTGATATATTTAAAGTAAATTAATGTCATTGTTAGCACATTTTAGGAACCACGACGTCAGCTTTATAAATATTACTCATTATCAATTATTCAGGTCTTGCTTAGTGTCTGTCATTGAAACATCGTGGTGCGCACAACATGACAGAAGCTAACGTTACGCAGTTGTGTCCTAGCTAGCATTGTAAGTTGGATTTTTTAAGTTCTGTTAATTGTCGCGTTGTTAGATAGATTAAAATCGTTAAATATGTTAACTTCTGTCGCCTGTTCGTGTGTGCGAAACGGGAGGAAAGTCTCGGTCCCTGTAGCTAAGTTGTCCCTGTTTTCAACGGTTAAAAAGTCGACCAGAACCCTGAGTGTAACAGGGGTACACGATTTGTCACGACACCGGTTACCCGGACTCCTCACGCCGACTCCCTGGCAGCTGCTGTCCGCCAGATCTGTGTCCCTATCAGCCGCTTCCCATGGGGGTGCAGACCCTCTGGGCTCACCTTCAACCCCAGCCGAGAGCGACCCACCAGACAGGGAGAACTTCGGCTCCCTCTCCACCGACATGTCCTCCAGGAGGTCGTTCAAGAAAATGAGCCCATACATCCAGGACCTGCAGTATCGAGAGGAGGACGATAATGGTGGTAAGGAGCTGGTGAGACCTCGCAGGAGGCCCGGGACGAGAAACACACCGTACTGGTACTTCCTACTGTGCAAGAGGCTGATCAAAGAGAACAAGGTGAGTCCATCTGAGCTGGTCTGTCTGTCTGTCCCCTCACCTCCTCCTGTGTGCTGACATTACATAACATTATTTGTCCTCTCACAGCTGCAGGAAGCTTTGGATGTGTTCAGCAGAGACATGCTGCAGGGAGAGAGGCTGCAGCCGGAGGAGTTCAACTACACTGTGCTGATAGGAGGCTGTGGTCGAGCTGGACAGCCAAAGAGGGCCTTCAGACTCTACAATGATGTAGGAATATCATATTTATACACTTTTATAATGCTTATATGGTCCCTTAGCATGTTCATTAACATGTCACATGATAGACAAGATCCTAAAGTGGTGTAAAACAGTGTTCTCTGTCTGTTATATAGAAATTGTCAAGCCACAACCAGCTTGCATGTATTATTTTTAGTTTAACTATTGATTTATAATGTAATAAATCCTACCTTCACAAAAGATATAGGCCTGATGTTCAATGTTTGTTATACACTACATACATACACTACACTTCTGCAGCACCACAAACTGCAACCTGTCGGTAAAGATAAATAATAGAACAGCTGAAACCGTCTGTTAAGTTCAGAAAATGACATCGCTTTACTGTAATGCAGCCTTTATAACCAGGAAAAGACAACACTTACAATATTACAATATCCAAAATTTAAGACGATATCTAGTCTCATATCATGATATCGATATATCATTGATATATTGCCCAGCCCGAGTTCAAGTTAGATTATTTGTCAGTTATCAGCGTCACATTTTTATATTTCAGATGTCAACTTCTTAACACAAACTTCTCAGGTTGAATATAATGTCTGTAATAATGTGTGTCTTCCAGATGAAGAAACGAGGTCTAGATCCCACAGATGCCACCTACACCGCCCTGTTTAATGCCTGCGCTGAGTCGCCATTCAAACAAGCAGGTCTCCAGCAAGCATTGAAGTTGGAGCAAGAACTCCGTCGTAAAAACCACCCCCTCAGCACCATCACGTATCATGCCCTCCTCAAGACACACGCCATCACCAACCACCTTCAAGCCTGCATTCACACACTCAGGGTACGACACGATCCGACATTACTGCATGTGTGTGGAAGGTTGGTCATCTGTTAGATTTATGTTTCTACATTAGTCTGTGCTTGTTTGTAGGAGATGCTGCAGAACGGCCACGCTGTAACTCGGGAGACGTTTCACTACTTGCTGATGGGCTGTTTGAAGAACAAGGAAACTGGATTCAGACTGGCTCTACAGGTAGATATGTGATTTCTAATCACACATCTTTTTCATGGTTGAGGTTTTTGGTGTGCTACGACCAAAGCTTGTTTCTGTTTCTGTTACATATTTAAAAGATTAGACTAATGCAGGTGACATATCATTTCTTGCATGGGCTTTTTTATGTTTAACATAGCAGCAAAATTGCTATCTAAATTGATACTGTACACTTATAGACCCAACTTGCACAGTGAAACATACAAAGAAGTTGTCATCGCACAGTCTGTAGGCTCCTTTCTCTTTGTTTTTGTTTCAGGTTTGGCGGCAGATGCTGAGATCAGGGATTACTCCAGACTCAAATGACTATAACCTGCTCCTGCGAACTGCCAGGGATTGTGGGATTGGCGATGTCGCCCTCACCACTGGTGTGCTGCTGCAGCCTGGCCAGAAGTACGAGAGGGATCGTGCATCACGTGTGAAGTCAGAGTCTGGATGTAAGGATGTGGTAGACATCGACCTCTTGGAGAGGCAGTTGTTTATCCAACCTGATCCACGCAGTGCGAGTCAGCAGGACAGCAGACACGGTGAGGAGGAGCCCTACAGCAGACAAGAATCAACCCATTTAGTACCAGTCAGACAAACAGAAACCATCACGCTGCCTGTTGACTTAGCAAGTGAATCTGCAGCCCCTAACCTGCTGGACATTTTTGAGGGTAAGAGCAGCTGTGTGGTGTCCCTTGGCACCGTGGATGGACCCACAGATAGGCTCGCCCTCATCGGAGGAGCAGAGGGTTTCCTGGAGAAGATGGCGGCTAACAAACTGAGTCCAGACCTCAAAACAATGACTCTGCTGGCCGACACGATGGAGCCGAGCCACCAGTCTCTGCAGATGCTGCTGAAAGTCGCCAAGCAGCACAAAGTGAAGCTCGATGTCGCCTTCTTTAACTCTGTGATTCGCAAAGCAGCTAAAGCTGGTGACCTGGAGGAGGCAAAGGTACACACACACACACACACACACACACACACACACACGCACACACACACTCTTAATCAAGCTAGAGTTACATTTAGTTCACCCAAATTAAAAAATATTTTCTTAGTTACTTTTCGTTCTGCTTCCACCCAAATTCATCAGTTGTGGAAAGTAACTAAGTACATTTACTCAAGTACTGTACTGTAAGATACTTTTACTTTACTTGTAAGTATTCCCATTTGATAATACAAAATATAATCAACAAATAAAGATGATTTATTATCAGGGATAAAGATTAAACTTTATTGACTTCTGAGGGTAAATTCACAAGATACCCAAGAGGAGAGGGAAATGTCTGTATTTTTGAACCTGGACCATGTTTTCTCATGTTTTTTGTGCCTACGTGACTAATGGAGATGAAAATTTATGACATTAGTCTAATATTGAGAGACTGCTACAGCCACAGTGGTGAAACAGGCTGCAATTGCAATCCTGCACCATCAGTTTTCATCCATTAAACTGCTTGTTTTTGCCACAGACAGGTTCAGATTGTGTCAGAAGTGTCTGACAATATTACAGAAAGGATCCCTACAGAAAAAAATAAACATTTTTTTTTACCTTACCTGTCCCTTGTTCCAGTCTTGTGTCAGTGTGTGCAACCAAGTCTGGCTCAAGGAGAAGTCCCATTCTGAAATCTCTGACTTTTCCATGTTGTCAAAATCAGCTTAATATTCAGCCATGACATTGAAAATCTTTTAGATAACACTAAGCTACACTTTCTGTACGTGTATACAGCAAACTTCTCCCGACATTATTCTCTCCAACATTATCGATTCCATCTCACAAGATTTCAGAACGAGACTGCTCCTTGAGTGAGACTTGTTCACATTAACAAACAGACTTAGTTTTGTAACTTAGGTGAATGGACTCCTTTTTAAATGTGTGCTCACTTCTTTCTCTTTCTAGTCTGTGCTGAGTGTGATGCGACAGCGTAATGTAAACGTGGATGCGCAGACATTTGGGAGCCTTGCTTTCGGCTGTGAGCAACAGCAGGATGGGCTGCAGCTGCTGACAGACATGGAGGTAAAGAAACACGCATCCTACAAGTCAGAGTGGATGTTCCTTTTTTTATGCTATATTTGTGTAATTGAGGTCAGAAATCCCTCTATATTCTGTCACAACTGCACTAAGACATGAACTTTAACATTGTCATAGTGAATAATACTCCAATATTAGCAGGAATTGTTTTAGGAGTAGTAGTAGCAGCACTAGTGAAGGACCAGTATTATGATTTGACAGTTCTTTCATCTGCATGTGTTTTTCGCAGGAGGCGGGATTTAAGCCTAACATCCAGGTGTTCTCTGCTCTGATTGGCCGAGCAACTCGAAGACTGGATTACGTCTACCTTAAAACATTGCTGAAAAGTATGAGAAGCATGGGGGTGTGGCCTAATGAGGTCATCATCAGACAGCTGGAGTTTGCCTCACAGTATCCCCCCAACTATAACAAGGTAAACACACGTACAGTTCATCAGGAAGCTTCCCAAACCAGTCAGTAGATACCCAAGCATTAAAACTTATCAGTGTGCATGGGTAGGTGCAGATTCTGACCGCAACCCTGAAGCTAAAGACTCTGCTGTAAACTTCATGGCACAATAATTTTATTAGCAGTGAATGAAATAAGTTTCAAATGGATGAAAAACAGATGTCCCAAAGCTTTTTGTATCAGAGACCTACAGAGGTTCATGACAGCTCTGAGCCCTTTCTGTCATTTCCAAATTTATTATTGCTATGACACTCGAAAGGTCGAGGTGTGTGTGAGCCTTGTGCTTTAACTGAGCTGTTTGGATGCTTTTATGTTGTCCAGTGCTGTGAATGTTTCCATGCAGTGTATTTGTGTTAAATATCAGTGGTAAGGCCTCTCCACTAAAGTTGATGATAAAGTATGTATGTATGTATGTGATACGACAAACTTTTCTTAACCCTAACTAAGGAATTTTGTTGCCTTAATCTAACTGCCGACACCTTCTTAGGCCTTAATCAGACTTCCAGCTCAAATCATTTTTTTTGGAATGTCCTCATTGTAGCTCACATCAGATGTCAAAGTGTCTTTGAACACAACACACAATGATGATGTTAAATTAAGTTAAGTGATGGAAGTGCTGAGCATATCCATGCTGCTACTAGCAGAGCACTAAAGAAGCCAACATGCCGAACAATAGCCTGTGGACAGACGCCAAAAAAATTGTTTGGAAAGGCGAAATACTGGTCCTCCATGTCTCATGCTTCTGCTTTGGAAAGCCGTGTAACCCATGTTGCTACATAGTTACTGACGCCTATTTTGTGACCATAGAAACCCATACAGATAGGCTGGTGATGTCTGGACGCACAACAGTGCCGACAGTCTGTTTTAAAGATCTGATCTGAGAAACAAATTTGATTTGCTTGCACTCTGGGCATAGCCTTAGTCACATGAGTAGACTCACATGACTTACGCCAACCCCTCCTGTGAAGGTACACTGTAAAAGCCTCCATAATGCCACTTTAATGATGGTGGGGCGTCAAAATCTGATGAGCAGGGATGAGATCACTTTGGTTAAAGCTCTGATAAGCCCACTGTGTGTCACCTGCTCAGCACCAAATATCAGACTGACACAGTTAGTGACAAGCTGGTGAATATAATGCAGCATTTACCAGCTAAAGAGGCGGGGGTCGAAGGACAAATCAGCTAAAAGGAGAATTCATGTTAGACGTGCATGGTGGACAGAAACGTGACTCTGCTAAATGAATGGTCCACGTATTAGTGGTTGTGTAAATAGACAAATGTATTTTGCTCTTAGCTCATTCCTCTTCCTCCAAGTGGCCAAACACTGCTTTATAGAAACAGACACTCATATTTTTATCCTTCTGCTCCCCTCTTTATTTTCTCCCCTCATCTTTCCTCCCTTCCATCGATCCCAGTACAAGTCCAGAAACAAATACCTTGACCAAATCGATGGTTTCCGTGGTTACTACCAGCAGTGGCTGAGAGACATGCCTGCTCAGGGCGCTGAGGACGATCGGGCAGGGCTGCAGTCTGAGGCGGATGCTGCAGTGTTAAAAACAGAAGCTGAAGACGGACTGACAGAGAACCAAAGGAACCAGAGGGCAGCAGCAAGGAGATATAACTCTCGTAAGAAGGACAAGACGAGCAGCGCTGCTTTGTGACAGCACTCCTGAATATATCTCTCTTTTCTCTCCTCCGTCCTCTGATGGTGTGTTTGTATGCAGCTGTGTAACACTGGACGGACTCTGAGTTGAAGTAGCAGCTCCATCTTCTGTCAGTTAACTTATGGCAGATGTGTTTTTCTCCAAAGACTGAACAACTGTAATTTTCTAACGCAATTAAAGACTGTGTATTACACTATGCTTCGTTTTGAAATCACATGCAAGATGCACATTGCTCATTGGTCTTTGCAAGTTCACTGGGAGATGAGGTGTATCAGATCGGATTTTTAAAGTTATTTTTTTTCTTCTCAGAACAGACTCAAATAAAAAAATTAATTTAATGAGCCTTATTTGAAGGATTTGGAAGAGTGTTGAGGGGCCATGGCAGGGTATCAGGGGTTTATACTTTGTCCTATTGAATTGTGAAAAGTGTGCATTTGCAGAGTCAACTATGATCAAATTATGATATGTAATCATCTAAAAGTACTGCTTGAAACTGAAATCTCAAAGGTTGAGGCAGTTGAGGCCTTGCAGTCTGATAGACTAAAATTTAACGGGATGAAACTAAACAAATGTGTCAGCAATGGACTATGTTAGCAATATCTTCTTAAAAGAGGCAACCTGGATCATGTTGTGCTTCACCAGAGCAGAGGAAATCGGTTGTTAGTTGTAACAATTTTGTAAATAAACTTTCTAAAGAACAAGTAAAAGAGAGGCTTAAAAATACTGTATGTGTAAGGTAATGTGGAAGAAGGCGGTAAGGAAAATGAAAACTGCATTTTAATAGGCAAGCATCCATCTTGGTTATTTGATTATTTTGAAATAAAGGACTCATATGTCAAGGTCAAAAATACTCAAGAAATTATGGAGTGGAAGAAATAAGTCCAAAAAATGTTTTAATACTTAGTATAAATGGTGTAATACTACTACTACTAATAATAATAACAATAGTAATAATAATTATTTATTAGTATTATTATTATTACACGGAAATGATGGGAAATAATTAACCACTGAACAGAACAGGCGTATCAACGAATATCTTTTTATTTATCAACCCTTTTTTTTTTTAGTGTCCATCTTCTGCGCCACACTGCAGTCCAGCAGGTGGCAGTAATTCATTTATAAGTTGGTTGGCCTACCGCCAATAAAGCCGACAAAGAAGAAGAAGAAACGTCACATCCGGTGAAGAAAGGGGACTCAATTGAGAACTCCCGGCGCCAAAAACAAATTTTTTTGTCATTAAACGGACACTAAAGGTAAGAAAACTGTCGGAGTTGTTGTTTGTTTATAATCTAAAATTTGTAGTAAAGAAGTTCACTTTTGATGTTGCCACAAACTGACTGTTGTTACACGTATGTAACTTTCTGTTTTCTTCCTTGAGGAAAGCTAGCTAGCTTTTTAAAGTACGCAAAAAAACACAGTGTGGTTTGGTCTGTTTACAAAAGTTACCTCGACAGCATAACGAGTTGTTTTAATGACAAAGACTCGGTAAAATCTCATCCAGGTGATGAATCCTGTAAATTTTATTGACATGAGCACGGTCTCCTCCCAAAATCCTGACGAACCAGAGCTTAAAATTATAAAACCTGACCGACATCTTAAAACTGTGTGCTACAATGATGTATTAAGCTGCTGGCAGTATATGAAGTAGATGACATATGTAGTTCCACCTTTACCAGCTCACCCAGTACTATAATATTCTGTGATGTGCCATTCTTTATAACCAATACTTTTACAGTTAGTACATTATGTATATTCTGATGCTAATGCTTTGGCACATTTACTTTATTAAACATTTGAAAGCACCACTTTCACCTTTAACAGAGTGTTTTTATCCTGTATTATTGCTACTTGCCCTCTCTTTTTGCTAGAAAATTCAAATGTGTACAACGGTGGACACTGGAGAGATCATCATCCTCAGTGATGATGATGATGATGACTGTGAAGAAGATGTATCATGCAGTGAACCCTCGGTTCTCCTGGTGGAGGTGGAGGATGTGAAGCAGAGTGGTAACAACTTAACACACCAGCAGCCTGTATGTGTAGGTTGATCATGTTATAAATATTCACCAGCTGCTCCTCCTTTGTGTTTCAGACTGTGTTTTATCTCCCACTGCTCTGGATGAAGACCTGGTCGTCACCTACTCCCGCCGTGCTGAGGTGCTGCCTCATGCTCGCTACGACTGTCCCATACATCCTTTTGCGTGAGTAAATTGTAACTCATGCTCTGTTAAATATTGATCAGTGCCTCGTTTGTCTCTCCATTGGAGATAATCACTTCTCTGTCCTGATCAGGGCTACAGATTGTGAGATTGGTGCTCCTGTGGCTTCTAACCAGCTGATGTGTGAACAGTGCTTCTGCTACATCTGTGACAAGTTGGCGTCATCGGTATGTGTTGATGTAGTCTCTAAACTGAATGTACATCTTCAGTGACTTGAATGATGCACTGATTGATTTCAGTTCATGTTTGTTTGTTTTTTCTCTTGAATTTTGGTCACTGTAAAATTGGTCTTAAACATCATTCCAAGTGACATTAAAAAGAATTCAGTCTAACTTGCCGTAAGCTGTAGGAACCCTGTTATAACTGTAACAGAGTGGATGCTACTCTTTGCAAACAATGTGTCCTTAGAAAGTCTTAAATGTCTTTAATTCAACGGTGTAAATATTAGGCCTTAAAAGTCATCAAACAGTCTTAAATTTGAATTTGTGTGGTCTCAATTCCCATCTTATTTCATTTATCCATCTTTTAATTTCTTTTCTCACAGTCTTAAATACACCCTACATCTGCACGGACCACATATATATTTACATGTATGCTTACCTGCAGTGTTTGAAGAAGAAATGATTTGTCAGAAAAATCTGTCTTGAATTTGAAAGGTGATATTTTTTTTATATTTATTGCAGGTTTGTTGTTTGAAATTTATTGTCATGTTTTTCTTTTATTTCAAAACATTAAAAGCAATTTTCTTTCTTCTATGTAAGTGTTTATTTAGCACAACACTGCCAATTTTAGATCTAATGTGTATCTGATTGACCAAATACATCAATAAATAACATTCTTAGAGTGACTACAAATTATGGAAACAGCTTCAGTGTACTTAAACCAGCTGTGCTCTCGACAAAATGGACACATGTATTTATAGATAAAGATAATTTGAAGTTTTGCTCTTGTGCTTTTTTTTGTTAAGAAAAAAATCCTAACAGCTGCTTTACTGTTGTCGTCCTGTGTTTGTGTGTTTAGTGTGTAATGTGGTGTCACAGCGGTATGTGTCACTGCAACAGCCACAAGAGGAGCGAGTTCTGGAACCAGTTCAGAAACAGTGCACTACTGGGAGGACTGAAGATTTTCAACCTCACTCTGTCTGAAATAGACTCTCACCTCCGACATGCAGGTTCTCGTTCTCTCACGAATATCTGGACATAGACGTCACAGTGACATTTGGAAAACCTCAGACTGAACCACTTGTTGATGGTTCTAATTGCCACTGAATTTGTCTTCCTCCTGTCCAGAGACGATGCTGCAGAACTTCAGACAAGAGCTCTCTGCACTCTTCTCTTCCTTCCTGAAGGGAAAGACGGCACAGGAATACGGTCTGAATCTACCGAACCAACAAATCCTCATCTTTGAGTGAGTGACGGAGCAGAGCTGTCCATAATGTTAAAACAACACTGTTATCCCTCTCAGACAATCGTGCATCATTTACATATCAGCAATCTGTGATACATCAAAGTCATTAGGATTTATCCTCATTTATCCTATGTCTGTGCCAAACGCCCATCTCAGTACCATATGGTCAAAAGTATGTGGACACTCACTGAATACTTTCATCTGCAACAAAACTAGGGCTGTACCCAACTCAGAATCAAATTTGGCTGATCATACAAATATTTGACGATTTGTTTTCTTTTCTTTTCTTTTACCATACAAAGTTTTAGAGTTTGAGCGGGGCTCCGCCAGACCATCAGTGTGACAGTGACATTCACTTAATATAGTAAACAAGCTAACGCCGCTAACAATGGATCGTAAATATGCGACATTTTTTTTTTGCCAAGGCTAGATATCAAACAAAAGCCAGAGGCTGTGTCGTTTAAGTGTCTGTGAGCTGTAAATTCACGTTGTCTCAGAGTCTTACGGTGCAGACTCTCCTCCGTGATGCTACATCGTGTCCGCAGCATTCTGTACCAAAGAGTAGATTAATAGCGTAGTTTTTGCAGGCTGCCATTTTTAAAAATCTGAGTTGAGTGAACAAAAAAACTGCAGTCACTATTGATAGTAGCTTTGCTATTTAAAAATGGCAGATTTGTGCACTAGTGATGGTTCTCTCTGACCAATCTGTGGTCTGAAGTATTTTAACCCAGGTTCCAGGGTAAAAAGGTTCCAGGTACTATCCACAGCTCTCTAATGGAAAATCAAAAAGAGCGAGTAAGCAGAGCTGTGACATATCACGCAGTGGAAATGTGGCATTTAAGTCCATCTGACAATACTTTTTAAAATTTTAACCTGGATGGAAGTGAAATACTAAATCACTGGCGGAGTTCCCCTTTAGAGGTCCAGACACACCAAACAACATCACAGAACAAGTGGCGACAAAGGCTGACTGTTGCCAAAAAGTTTGTTGTAATCTCACACCCTGTTGACTTTTGTCGTTTGTTTACTTTCCTCTTTCATTGCTCTTCTCGTGCACTGAGCTGAACTGTCAATCAGAGGGATTTCCCTCCGATTCCAATTCAACACGCTGAAATCAGCCGCCAAGGGTCGACTAGTGGCAACACTGCGGGACACACCGCAAAAACTTGGGAGACAGACCCTCACCGAAGGCCCGACATTGGCCAACGGCCGACCATCAGCGTAGTGTGTTAGGGCCCTAATATTTCCAGTCATTGTGAAGGGGCCTAGCCAACACCATCAAAAACGATCCAGATTAAAATACACAAAAGTATGTGGACATCATGCAGAGTATTAAATTTAGGCTAAAGCCTTGAACCGACAGACTTATCTCACCATCACTAGAGCTACAACGACACCACCAAGGAACATCAACTGTGGCGTTTCTACAGCTTAAATTGTGTCACATCCCAAACACTGATCTAATTTACAAATGAAAACTAAAATCTTTTCAAACTTTTCAAAACCTTTTTCCTGTTTTGTTTGTTTGTTTCAGCTACACACCTGTGTACGAGTTTGTGTCATCGTTCCTGAACAAAGCAGACAAAGAGGACGGCAGAGCTGCTGCCATCATGCAACTGGGAGCTCTTCAGTGCTTTATTAAGCATTTTCAAGCATCAGGGTACACACACACACACACACACACACACACACACATACAGTGGCATTTCCTGTTTTTGATTTGTGGTTATCTTCACAGCACACAGCATTATGTTTTCTATATATTTGTTTTCTTTGGTTGATTCTCGACAGGACAATCATCTCGCAGTCTCCCATGGCTCATGCTACTGAAGCCAAACTGGTGTTAATGCAGAGGTACACACACACACACACACACACACACAGAGCCCATGGTGTGTCTATAACTAATTAATTTAGATATTTACCTGTGTGTATGTGTGTGTGTCTTCCAGGGTCATAGCGTCAGTGCAGAGACAGATGGTGATGGCTGATTTTACCTCAGAGTTCATCAACAAACTGCAGGACTTTTACAAGAAGCTCTATTTACCTGCAGAGCTGAAGAGCCATAGGAACAGGTGTGTGTTTAAGTGTGTCTCTGAGGCAGCAGCTCATAAGAGCTTGTGTGTGTTTTCCTTTATTATCCCCAAAGTTACACATTAAAGTTTTATTGTGTATAATTCTGTGTGTGTTCATGTGTGTGTGTGTATACGCTTCAGCCTGTGTGTTCGTCCTTGGGATGATATCCTGCTGGTGTCTGTGCTGAGGGGGCAGAACGTGTCGGGCGTCCGCAAAGACAAAGGCAAGAAGGACGTGCTGATTGAACCGATTTCTGTGGTTCTACTGAGAGCAGAACTCCTACAGCGACAGCACAGGTACAAATCGGACACACATACAAACTGTTTCACACTTGTGTAACATATAGACCAGGGGTGTCACTATTCTCCAAATCCAGTTTGATTTGACCTTTAATATAAATATTTTTATTCCGTTTTCTATGACATTGTTAGAATATCCAGTCGTGATTCTTAAAGATCAACAGATCATTGGTTTTATGCCCTCACAACATTTTCACATTCTTCTTTATAAAGATATGGTACAGACATGGTGTCAGGTGTGAATTAAGTTCCATATTTTGGGGGCGAAAAAGTACTGAAAGACACACTGATACAATTTCACCAAGGTTTGTATCATAAAAACACCAATAAATGTAGCAGCACTGAGCACTTAATTGTTTCCACAAACAGTAGCCAATACCGTATCAACCTTTAAAATCTGCGTTAACGGGGCGTCGGTAGCGTAGTGGATAGTGCCGGCGCCCCATGTACAGAGGCGATGCTTTGCTGCAGCGGTTGCAGGTTCGAATCCGGCTTGCAACCCTTTGCTGCACGTCAACCCCCACTCTCTCTCTCTCACTCCATTTCAATCTGTCCTGTCCATTAAAGGAAAAAAGCCCCAAAAAATAATCTTTAAAAAAACAAAACTGCATTAACAGTAACATTTAATATTAATGATAGCATGTCTTTTTCATGCTTGCTCGAGTGTCCAGTAGCATCTCTGTGTTTGCCTGCAGCACACCCACTCTGTAAACAAGGAAATAACAAAACAGTGGATCGATTATCGATATAGAATTGAAACTGTGACACCCCTAATATAGACACACACTTCCCCTTTTCAGCTGCTAATAAAACCAGTCCTGTTTGTGTTGTAATTGTCTGCAGGTACAGAGAATTGTGTCGCTACCTACGAGTCGTCCAGACTGATGATTCAAAACTGTGAGTGAGCAAATAACCACTAATATTTAACATGCTGAATCAGTGTTTAGGTTGAGTTTCATGGTGGATTTAATGAGGATGGTGGCTTGTCATAGAAATCTTCGAGTATTATATGAGTGTATGTAAAATTGAGATTTTAGAATGATAAGTAATTATTCATCACCACCAAAGCCAGCGTTTGTGCTTTGGACTATATTACAGTTACTGTCTTTTTAGTGGAGGTGGTTCCACTTCTGCTTTAACTTTCAAAACTGTTGTCTATGAAGGAGTCTGACCTTTTCCCAAAATAACTTTCAGTAAGCATTTACCATTCACCATGACGAAATATGTCACAATGAAAGGGACACTATGATGTTTTTCATACTGGACCCTATTTTCCCATGTTGTTTTGTCTAAGTGACGAATGGAGACCGCAGTTCTTTAAATTGGTTTAGACACCGCTCCAGCCGCAGCAACAAAACATGCTGCAATGTAATTCCTACAGATAATGTATTGTAATATTAAGTGTCTGATAACATTATGGGGGAAAAACCTCATAAAAATGAGATGTTTTTCCTGCCCTTTTGCTCGATCTGGTCTGTTTGTTATTGTGACCAAGTCTTGCTCAAGGAGAATTTTCATCCAGAAATCTCCTGAGAGGTGACCTGTTGCAGGAAAAACAGGTTGAAACATTAGTTAGAGTTGTAGAGATGAATGCCAAGAAGAGTATGTTGTGTTTGAGTAGGCACAGGTCAATGTATTATGTTACTGTAATATTTACAGTGTCATGGCTGAATATTTAGCTGATTTCGACAATGTAGAAAAGTCTGAGTTTTTATGTTTTTACACACATTAACAAACAGACTGGATCAGCAAAAGGTAAAGAAAAACGTTTAATTTCTCTGTAGGGTTTTTTCTGTAATGTTATCAGACACTTACAGTAACAATCTGAGCCTGTCAGTGGTAAAAACGAGTACTTTTAATAGACGTAAATTGACACTGCACAATTTCCCCCAGGGATAACATAGCAGCCTGTTTCACGTTTCGACTGCAGCAGTCTCTCTCAATACTGGACTAATGTCAATAATTGTTGTTCCCATCAGTCACTTAGACATGCAAAACATTGGAAAATAAGTCCAGGTTCAGAACTCATAAGTTTCCCTTTGGCATTTAAAAGCAGAACTTCCAGCCCCCAATGTGAAACACTTACATTTGTTCTCTATCAGATGAGTCAAACTTTGAAGCTTCTTGATTTCATTTAGCAAATAAATGTTGTGTTTAACTACAGGCAAATGCAACTTTATTTTCCAAATGACTCTCACATATTAGTTGATTGTAGTAAAATGTAATTTCTAACCCTGTCTGACACCATACATCATCAAGCTTATCACCTCAATATTTCAGCCGTACTCTGTTGACAGCCAGCAAGCTATTGATTAAAAATAACATTTTTATTATCTGCTAATGAATTTTCTAAGAAGGACAATTTGTTTTTTTTCTGGGACCAGCCATGGTTCTTTTAGAGAGGATGTTTTTTCAACCTTAGTGTCATATTTTTGGAGTTTTGTTTCTGTCTGTGCTGTTTTAGAGGAAGTTTGACAGTATTTCAAAATTTGAATATATGCTATGAAATCCTGTTTTCCAACTATGTGGACATTTAGATAGAAAAGCAAAGCACATGAAGGTTTAGGCCCATTTGTTTTCGTTTTTAAATTATTATAACCTTTCAAAATAAAGTTTCATGCTTAGATTTACATATGATTGTAGACTTGACAGGTGACATCATGTTGTTGACTTGCTGTATTCGTTTTGTTCCTCCGGTAGCTTCCAGCACGTACAAGACCTCGTCCCGTTCTTCATGTGCATGGAGGGAGACTTTACGTCCGCTGTGCACAGCTTGCTGCCCTCAGTGAACGCCCCCGCCTCCCGCTTTACTCCACAGCTCTTCCGCTTTTATCTTTGCGTCTTAAACACAGCAACAGCACCAAAGCTGGTGGTCAGTCAGCCGGCACAGCTCTGTCGCTCTGATGCAGCATGGGAGCCAATTAAAGGTCAGACATAGACTAATGATTTTTTTAACCTGTGACACCTTTTTTTTTTGGATGTATTTTCTCAAAAGAAGTCAAACTCCCTCCTCTGCAGGTGCTGTGCCACTGGCACGTGCTGTGCTGGTGAGGTTTGCTCTCAGGGTTCACAGATGCTGCTCTGAAGTCTTGAGTGATGTAAGTCTGTAACGCTCATCACTGTTTAGTGTCACAACAAAGGAATATCAGCTTTTTATCTCTTGGAAATGTTTAAAAAAATCAGACTCGTGCATGCGTTTTTAGCTTTGAAAACAGACTACAGTAACGAGGTTGTACCTTTCTGATCCAGTCTCAGTGTTGGACCAGTTTACTCAGAGTCGTCAACACACTCACCGCCCTCCCAGAACCGAGCCCACAGTTTCTACTTGTATGTATTTCTCGTTTATTAACAGCTCTTTAATTTATTTAATGTTTCTAATTTTCCATTTATTTTTAGCAATATGTGTTTTCATTTTGTATTTTCTTTCTTTCCTGTCTGGACCTCAGGACATGAAGGATGTGGTGAATATGATACTGCTCGACCAGCACGGGTCAAACTTACACATCCCACGATTCTTTCAGGATGTACGTATGTTATGCTTTTACACATGTGCTCTGAAACACAGGGACGTTACAATAAAGTGAGGTAATAAACTGTAAATATACGTGTTTTTTGTGTTCACAGGTGTACCCAGATCAGGCCTTGTTGCTGTTGGTAACGGGGGCTTTAGGTTTGAGAATCGTTGTCGCTCCTCTGAGTCCAGCCCTCCCTGTGCTCAATACATTTACGGTAATCTCCAGTTCTTCTCTTCCTCTGATGTCACATCCTGTTTGTAGACACTTAGTGCACATAACCTGCAGATCAGATATAAGTGTTACAAATACATGAGGAAAATAAAATGGGAGGTTTTATTTTTTCTCATGAAAAGTTACAACAGTTCCTTTGTGCGCCACAGAGTGGGAAGTTTGTCCCAAAGCTTGCCGCCACATTTATACTCCACACCTTCATGAAGATTTGAGATTCAACACTATATTGCCATACCAGCGTAGTCGTTTGGGGTTTGTTTTAGTGAGCTCTACGCACAGACAAAAGAAACACTCACTGCAAATGTGATGGAGTGGGAGAGAGCGGGGTCTGGTTTAGGAAGGGCCCCAACAGTTTCCTGACTCTTGCACAGTTTCCATGTTCCTTATCCCCATTTAGCTAAAAGTTTTATCCATGTATACATTTCTGTCTCTCAGGAGAACACGTGGGCTCTCAGGTGGCTGTGGACCAATTTGTCCTTCAACCCACAACGCCTCGCTGCCTTCTCACAGGAGATCTACCAGGAGATGAAAAACACAGCAGGTGGGTGGATGTCCTTCTCTTGATAATGAATCAGTGCAATAAACCCTTAACACCCCGACTGAGTCATCAAAACTAGGTAGAATTTATCAGTAAGAAAGTGCTGAGGTTGAATATTTCTGTCAGGGGAAGGTGTTTTGGGTTCTTTTTCAAGAGCTAACAAGTTATTTGCACATGTTGGTGACATCTAGTGGCAGCATGTATGAACTGCACCGACTTGCAGTCACTCAGGTGTGTGGCACAGCCAGCATCACTGCCCCGTAAAAACATCAGTAAAATTCAAACGAAAAGCCTAAATCAGATTGTGTAGCAGTTTCTTAAAATGGAATCTCAAAATCGTTCATTTAATACCTGACAGGATGATCAGCTTCACCTTCACTTTTACAAATTGAAACATGGTCAGTAGTCCCTCAGATATCATTGTGTACAGACATTGAACACTAAACTGTTATCAAGGGCTCGAGCTTTATTGGTTTTTATTGGATTACTGTTCATTGGTTGGTTTCTTTTTCTGCTCAGTGTGCTTCTTGTTGTCATTTATCTTTTGTTGTGTTTTTTCTGAATAATGTCAGTTAAGTTCTTTTTTTTTCTTTTCATCTTAAGTTAAGGAGAGGTCTCTAAGTATAAGCCTGTAGCGTCTTGACCTCTCCTTACACTTTTTCATTCTCATTATCCAGATTTTATGCAGTTTTATGAGCAAATAAAAACAAATAATTAAAATTAAATACTTCCACAAGATTATCCAGAAGTTTCAGGGAACACCTGCACGACAGCAGAATCTCAGGCCAGTGATATATACTTTTGACACACAAATTTAACTTGCCTGGTTAAGGTGCTATTTGTAGCCTGTGACTGTGCCCAGCCTCAAAAAATGAGGGAGGACCCTTCAGTCTGTGACATCGCCAGTGTTCCCACACTTTTTCCAAAGTCAAATTCAAGCATTTTGCAACCATATTCAAGTTTTCTAGCACTTTACAGCTGTGGTGAATAGGGGTAAATCACAGGGTAAATCGCAACTCCATTTAAAATCTAAAAAATATTGTATCGTCACTCAAGTATCGTGATAATATTGAATCGTGGGGCCACTAGTGATTCCCACCCCTAGTGGTAAATGACCTTTATCTGCAGTACATAAACTCAGTGGCCATTTTATTAGGTACACTAGTACAATCGGACTTATTTTATTTCTTTATCTAAACAGCAAACTATTTAGTCAGATAGATTTGTCACAAAAGTAATGCAGTTACAATTTTAAGCAGTTTCAACTTTTCAAACTTTGAAAATATCACGTTAAAATTTAAGCACTTTCAAGGATTTCACAAACCCTGCATCACTGCATCATAGACTGAGTGTTTATGTATCTCCAACACATTCATCAGGGTGATGTGACAAAAAAAACTTGATTGGGACATCCCTACTCTCAAGCTTTTTTTATAATGCTGCGTTCATGTCTTGTAATAGCCACAGCTATTCTTGTTATCGTTTAATCTACTTAGACATTTCCACGATTAAACATTGGGTCTAAAAATGTCAGAGAATAAACAGTTTCCATTGGTCCAATGAGATGTCTTCAGATGTTCATCACGCCCATGCTTGTGGTGTCCATGCATGTGCTGATAAAGCACAAGATACAAATACACATTTTTCTACAGTGCCATTAGAGGTCAAAATCTCTTAAGTGTATCTGTGAATGAAGATGAAACAGAAACCAAACGACCCTGAGGTTTAACAGCCACACAACAGCATGTCTTTGTTTCTCTGTTTCTGTCAGATGGGGAAAATTTGCCAGTCTTGCCTCACCTCTTGGTACAGTGTTCTCTGTCTTCAACAGAAAACTGGGACCAGTGAGTCATATTTAACTCTTAACCAAAGCACCTCAACCCTTAGAGCTAGAACAGTTCACACTAGGTTTTCTATTGTCCTTTAGTAATAGATAGTCACTGGCTGTGGATCTGATCTGTTGCCTTGTTTTCCATGTCCTCTCTCCTGATGTGGTGGTGATCAGCACCTACAGTAAGTTTCCCTATCACATGTGGTGATTCTTTACAATGTGTCCTGAAGGTTGTGATGCTGATTTAACCTTCTGTCTTTTCTCCTCATGTAGGCAGTCCAGCGCCTGTTAAATTCCACTCATCGCAGTGTCAGCTGTAAGTCACACAACTCTCATCAGCTGTTCCCTCCTCTGGGGCTTTTTGTGTTATTTCAGGATCCACTCTTAAAGGAAAAGTCTCTATCTTTAAAGTCAAACTGTAGATTAGTTAGTATTCATCAACTATTTGTCACTAAAAGACATCATGTGAAACCTTGAAGCAGGATTTATACTTGTGCAGCAGACCCTACGCATGTCGCCTACGCCATTGTGAACATTTATATTTGTGCGGTGGTGTGTCTGTCACTCTGCAGTTACACCTCCAAAACACTAGTCAGCAGCAGAGGTTTCTGTGAAGTGCTGTAAAGTTTAGTTGATTCAAAACACACATTAAACATGGCTTAATAGAGACAATTTCAAACAAACATAGACAAACTGGCTTGCAGCATTCACAGACAAACACTTGGACAAAAATCTGGACACATTTTCCCCACAAATACAACATGCTAATGTTTTTAGCACAAGTCTATGGCATTTTACATTTAATAAATTAGCCTAGCAGCTAGCAAACTTTTCCTCTCCTCATATGAAGCCAGGGACAACAGCAACATTTTAACAAAGGTAACATTACAAAATTCGGCTCCATTACAACTCACAGGGTTCACTGACAAAACAACTGTCTTATACTAAAACCGTATTACACACAAATATTACAAGCCTAGCGATGAGCAGAGATTTCCTTTGCGCATTCTTTACACATGTCCAAAGAATGCTCCTAAAAAAACGAATATCCTATGTCTTAGTGGGAAAATGCTACATTTGGAAAAAGGCCTAATTTGGAATATCTAAACAATAAATGCTGTTTATACAACTCGTATCATATTCAGAAAACTGATATTCAGAAAAGTAGTGGTCACCTGTCAGGACTTCAGGGGCTTCGTATTCTTCCTGTCTGTGTAATGTAACAAAGCTGGAGCTACACATCACACATTCATAGACTATAAAATTAAATTATCTTGTTCTGAGGTTTATAAGGCCACACTGTTTATAAAAACAATAAGTAAGAATTTTTTTTAATGTCTATCTGTCGCATCTGGCCTGATCTGTGCTGACATGATCCATTATGCTCAATCAACACAATGAGTTTTGCTTTTTAACCAAACTAATGAAAACAAGTTAATCAATTAATCCTGATTGTTTGTGATTAATGTTCTGTGAGTCAGTCGACTGATTAATTGGTCAATCATCAGCTAATAATGGGTTTGACATAGTCTGTGATTTATGGAATGCAATGTAAGTCGATCTTCAATGAATATTACATAAATAAATAACCCTATACAACAAATCTTGAAATGAATAAATGTAGATTTACAAACTGAAATTCCCCTGAAATTATATTGAACTGCACGTATATTGAGTCATTTTAAATATTTACATTCACTTCTACAGATTTTTTTATATCATTATTGCCTCTTTTATCTATTCCAAAGGCATATTTATGTGTGTTTTTATGTATTTATTTATTTATTTAATATTGACATAAATGGCATTCCATGTGAGTGGATGTGTGATAATACTATTTTCTTCTTCCCTCAGAGCTGATCCTCTCCACCATTTCTAGCTCCATTTGCACATAAAATAACCAAGTTGTAAGTGTTACCTTTCAGATTTACATTTGACATTAGGTCTCCTATTAATTTTTATTATTTTATTTATTATTATAACAAATGAAATATTTCTTATTTTATGTATTAGAGTTATTAATTGTCTTTTGATGGTTGCAGCTGGGCTTGATTCCACGTTGACGTTCCTGTCAGACACTGCATTCGCAGCACTCTTTCCTGAGTTGAGCACAGCGGATGCAGATGTGATGTCAGAATGCAGATGTCAGAATGTACCTGGACAGACCGGCCAGGTGTCAACAGACTGATGAAGAGACTTCAAACACATCCTCATTGTCGACCAGAATTTATTAACATTATGGAGACACTTTATGTTGCTTCCTTCTTTAATGACTTCAGTACGTGAAGTCTATACTGGATACAAGTTTTGTTTCTGCACTGTGAATTTTTGTTTTTAATTTAGTGGTGTTTAATTATTCTCTGAAAATAATTTTTGATATTCAATTTTATCACAAATGTTCACAAAAGGCAATCATGTTATGTTGGAAAATAAATGGAAAACCTGACCAAAAAAATGACTCTGGATTGCTGACTAAATAATAGATTGCTGAGTAAATATACACACACTAAAAATCGGCTCATATTTGCATCAATAAAACAACAAACATAAAAGTACAATGTAAAAACAGAAGGAGGCTGTTGCTCTGTCATCAGCTGCAGTTTACAGTCAAAGCCATGATATTAAACTGGTGCTGTCAGAACAAATCACACTTTAACCAAGTCTATGTTCAAACTCAGGTCTCGTATTTTTAAACATTACTGTATTCACTGATGTTAAGCTAAAACCTGCAGTCCACATGCTTTAATTGATCTTAAGTCACTGTGCAGTGGAATGGTTTGAACTGAAATTTCTGCTGCTCAGATTGTTATGTTAAAAATTTTTTATCATATGGTACGTTGATTTTGGTGTCCAATATAACACTGAAATGTTAACACTATTTAGGTGGAGGATGCGAATACACTGGTGCAGGAATGAGTCCTAAAACCAGGGAAACCATAATTTATAGTTTCCTTGCCTAAAACCCAGCCAGATGCCTGAAATAAGGTCTGTGGTTAATATAAGCGTAAGAGACTTTCACATTTTCTTCTATAAAAAATGCCAGTAAATACCCCACTTGTAAATTTTAAGTGTCTTTAAAAGGGCGGTTGCTCTAAAATGACTAAATGAGACTATAGAGCGTCATCAAGCTGAACATGACTTCACAGCCTCATTGTGGTGGCGACACCAAGTCATGCAACCATAGTGTAGCCTAAAGTGAGCTTTTTACTTCTGGTGATTGAATTTACACTTCAAAACTAATGAAAGTGGTGTTTATATGTGAAGACTGTCTTGTCGATCAAAACGTGTAAATATGAACTTTTGTTTTCCACAGTGTTTATTTTCTGTAATAATCCAAAGGAAAAATCTCACAGGCTTTTTGACAAGGGACCATCGCCCTACGAAAAAATGTCATCCCTGCAGCACTCTATAAGCCCTCTGTGGTTTGTGCCTCTCCCTGCACCTAATATAATTTGTTATTGTTGGTATTTTGTGTATTTTAAATTGTGCAAAAAAATAAGTGATCTAACTCTCAGTGGGACATATTTCCCTTAATGTCGAACTTTTCCAGTTGACAGTAACTGAGCTACATGTCCAACTGGTGCTAAGAGGGCGTGTGTGTTAAGTTGTTGGTAAAGTAGGCTGGTGAGGCCAAAATAAGGCACATGAACTTGTAAGATTAAGTCCCACTACAGTATAATATAGACTAACACTGTGGTATCATTAGTAGACATAATTTTCAGGCTGTAGTCTATCTTTATCAAAGCATTTTAACTGAGCAGTCATGTTAAACTTGGCTTAAAGCTGTTATAAGCTCTGAGAGTCTGAGCTTATTCTTCACTGCAGCAAAGCTGGTTACATGTTAAATGACAGAGCAGCAGGCTTGACAGACTAGTCACAGTCAACAGTGCTTCTAAAAGTAAATCATGAACAGTCCACATAGTGCTGGACCAGTGAGATCCACAAACTATGAGTAATATTACAATGCTGGTTTAACAGTAATCTCTTTTGCCTGCTTAAATTAAACACAGTTCACATGAGATTCAGTAATAAGCCTTCATTTTTAAAAACACACGCCCATAAAAAAAGTTCTTGATCTGTTGAGGCAGCCTGCATGTAAAAGTCTTCGGTGCTGGTGAGGCACTAGTGCATTTGTGTCCAGTGATCGAGGGATTCGTGACTCACAGCATCATGGAGTAAAAATCGTGCATACACACTAACACTTAACACTGCAGATAAAAACATATAAACATGATTCTTTAGTGACGATTATAAGAAATCAGTGCATTTAGTTGCAAATATCTTTATGACTTGTAAATTGTTTCTGTCCATCCAGGGCTCATGCTGCATGTGTGTTTCTGTGCAGCTGCATTGAGCTATAACAGAAACTTAACACCGGTGGTCCACGTCCTGCGTGGCGCTGTTTGATGAGGTCACACAGGAAATGCATCACTCTCAAGTCGTACTCACTGCTGCAGAATCCCCGCATGAGCAGGAAGTCCGCTTCTCCTGTGCCATCTTTCCTTCCAGCAGTGTTTGAACGTTGTAAAGCGGGATTAAATGTGTACAGCAGAGCCTTGTTGGCGAGCGCGGTCAGGCCGCTCTCCAGGTGCAGCAGGTACGTGATGCCTCGGCTGATGCTGGTGTGAGGGTCGGCCAGTCTGCTGACGAGAGAGCCGGAGTATGACGGACAGCGCAGCGTCCTCTGGTCCAGATCCAACAAGGCCAGATAACGACTGTAGCGAGTCAGAGAGTGCAGAATGCTGGCTGAAGAGCTGGAGGACGATCTGGTCAAAAAGAAAAGAGGATGTAACAGAGCAGTTTCTATTTGGTCCTAACAGTGTCTCAAAAGAACCCTGTGACCTCAGGACTATGCACAATTAGGAATTAAAGGAATAATACATTTAAACCATCAGTAACCATCAGTCGACTGTGTGTTACGGAGTACCTGTGTATTCCTATCAGTCTCCAGGTGAGCAGGTCTGTCAGTTGCAGCGGCGTGGTCAAACACAGCATCACAGCGTTTCCATCAGGACCAGGAGCAGGCAGGAAGAGACTCAGAGCGTCCACCAGTTTTTTGACAAAACTCTCATCTCCTCCGATGACGACCAGCGGCCGCCCACTCAGGAGACAAAACACGGCATGCTGGGAGAATGAGTTCTGTTTGAGGAACCTGAGGGCTCTGAGTCCAGCCTTCCGTCTCCTCTTCTGATCCCAGCGGGTGTTGCTATGGACGTTTTGAGTGGGAGAAGGTGGCTCCGAGGAGCCGGTGAAGCTGGTGCAGTCGGATGCCTCGTCGACGCTCAGCAGCCTGAGAGGAGCGCAGGGCGGAGGCCACCGATCAACCTCAGCCAGGGCAACAGCAGGGGCGAAGCTGACTTGGAGGTCAGGGACTGACAGCATTGTCTGATGGACTTCAGGCCACTGGGGCGTCGACTCCAGAGCTTCTTCAGCTGATAAAACAGTTTTATTACATGTTAAAGGATATAAAGAATCGTTCCTGTTATTCACAAAGTTATTACTGAAATTCTCATACAGCACTTAAAAGAAGTCCAATGGGGCAAGAAACATGAGCAGTTGACGGATCAGATTTGGAAATACTCGGAAAGAAAATCATGGCAAGTGGTAAAATCCATCAGTTTGCAAATGTTATAAATATTTTTCTCGTACACTCACTTTCTGTTTTACCTCCAAATGAAGTGGTTTAGATCATTTGAGTTGTTTATAACCTGACTGTCTGCTCATATTTCCTGCCCCATCAGACTTTGCCGTGATCAAACAACCGAATCGAGGCTGCTTCAAAAGGCGGGTCTCGCTCTGCTTCCAAGCGGACTCTGGTGCGGTTCGTTTGTGGTGTGAAAGCAAACGAACCAACCACAGGGTTTTATGATGCAGATATGTGATTTTAGAACGATTTCAGAAGCTAAACTACTATTAAACCCATCATCTGATTGCGAAATCTGGACTCCCTGGAGCAACAGGTGATGGCCTTCTTCCACAACACTGGCTGGTATGTGGACAAAAACAACACTAAGATATGCCATCCTCTCCCTTGTTAAAACAAAAGTGAAAAACCAGTCTTAATAATTCTCTTTGTGAACAGACAACACAAACACATACTGCTGAAGCAGGGGAGAGAACTAAGAGAAGTCAATGTGTGTATATCAACAAACACCTGACAGGAAAATGCGGACATCAGCAGACAGGCATGCTTCCTGAGGAAACAGAACAAAGTACAATCGAAATGCACATGACTGCAAGGTTTTCGTCAAACTGAAAGGATCAATGGAGGAAGCAAAAGTGCTGGTAATAAGGGAAACTGAAGAACTTGACAAGTATCAGTGGGCACCTCCTGGGAGAGCAGCACGCTAAGGTAACTGATACTTGAACTTAAACTCAGGTCAGTTCACAAAAAGCACATAGCTTGACAGCAGACACACTACTTGGTCAGGCTTCTCCCGACTCCTTTTGAACGTAAAATGTTAATTTATGTGACATATTGAAAATGTGTTGAATATGTTCACCATTATTTATTGGTAACTTTTGTTTTTTACGAATACATAGTATTTATTTTTTTAATGATCTTCTTACGGTATATTTAATTCAATTCAAAGTTACCTGTCAGTCTGTATAACTTCATGTTTACTCCTCTTGGTTTGTACGTAAAAAAAAATCGATGTGAACCGAAACTGAAGATTCTTGATCTGGACCAAATGAAGCGAACTACAGGTGCACACCCTGGAGGTTTGTGGTCGGGTCTGTGGCACAAATCTTTGTGTAATAAATAAAGAAGACAACTAGAGAGAGAAGTTCAAACCTGGGCTCCTTTCTCACCTTCACACAGCTGACAAGTCACAGCTTGCAGTGGGTGTGAATGTCAGATTGTCAGTTTCTGAAAGTTGCAGAAATGGTCAGACGCAGCCCCTCAATCTGAGTCTAAAGGTGTGAGGGGATGGGGTTTGAAAAGCCATGCAACAGTCCAAGAAGCACTTATGAAGAAGCATTTTGGTAACTTAAGATGGCTACATTTAAAAACATCTTTTGCTCTCCAGTTTGGTCGTCTGCTCGTTTTACACGCTTCAAAAATTATTGATAATGGTCGATGGAGAAGAATGTGTTTTTCATGAGTAAAGAGTTTTCAAAATGAGCATAATAAGTGTGGACATAGTTCTATATTGTATTTAAATTGTGTTTCAGACATGAATATTGTAGCAGATGTTTTACCTTGCAGTAGTTTGGATGTCTTCTCAGGACTGTTGTCTTCATTGACTTGATTGCTGCTCAAACATTCAGTGACCGGCTCCTCTTTGCTCATAGCCTCACCATTACCACTTATTTGCTTTAAAGTCTCTTCTCTGTCAACACAGCTGTCGTCCTCCTGAACAGGCTCTTTGTTTTCACCCTCACTTTCTAAACTAGTTGCAGTCAGTGTCTTCTCCTCCTTGAGGACATCATCAGATTTACACTCTGCCGGTGTCTCCTCACTCTTAAAGCCGTTACTCAGAGGCTGGTGCTCTGCTTCTTCCTCTGTGATGGCAGTGAGGTCGTCAGGGATGATGGACTCTGTGGTACTCAGTACCTCAATGCTGTCCTCACTGTTGGCTCGTCTGGCGTACGCTTGCACACGCCTGATGTTTGAATCTAAAGGGGGTCTCCTGTAGGAGGTGTCCGTCATCCCAACTGGTGTTTCTGTTGAAGAGAGTGCACTGTGTCATCTGAACCAGATGTGATCTGTGGATTGCTTTTTCATAACAATAAGTTAATCATTTAATCTATAAAATGTTATAACAGAAAGACTCCCATCAAAACTTTGCAGAGCCCAAGGAGACATCTTCAAATGGTTTGTTTCGTCCGATCAACAGAACAAAAGCAAGATTAAATCTATAAAAAAAAGGCAGAATATCAGCAAATTTGCTAAGCTGGAATCAGCGAATGTTCAGCTTGATGTGTTTGCTCCATAAATACAACAAATCCAAAGCCTAAATGGAACCAAGCTACACTGCAAACTCCCTTGTTAACTATTTGCCCTCATGAACACTGTGATCATTTGCTACTGGTTTATCGGAGGTTCCCAGCAACAGTTTAAAGAAAATTGGGGATCCAGTCTTTGTCAATTACACCCCAAATCTAGGGAAAATACTACCTATAAATATCAGGGAAGCAAGCTCGCTAAATAACTTTAACAGAAAGCCAAAGACGTATCTCTTCACTTTAGACTTTAACTCAACCCAACTCAAATTTATTAATAAAGCACATTTAAAAATAACTCACATTGACCAAAGTGCTGTACTTAAATCTTTCTATTAATGCCTAACTGTCACCTGTGTTTACAGCAGCCAGAGGATGGATAAAAGAAAAGACTGCGGGTTTGGACTGCAGTTAGTTAATTTCACTAATTGTTTGTCTGTAAAATGTGTGGAAAAAGTCATAATTTCCCAGAGCCTGGGGTAGAATCTATAAATCACCACCATCAGCCCAGTAAAAAAAAAAAAAAAAAAAATTAAATAAAAAACTCATTGTTTTTTACCTCTGCTGTCAGATCCAGCGACAACATGCTGCGTCCGATAAGACTTCTCAGTCCCGAGCACCTCGATACTGTCACTGCTGCTCACACTTCCTGTCATCTCCATGGCAACACTGGGGTCAGGGGTCACTGTCCCAGCCTCTTCTGCCTCCAGTTTGATGGGGATCTCCTCCACACAGGAGCAGAATGACTCCAGGCTCAGTGGCTCTGACTGAAACATCTCGACGCGGCCTTTACTCCCTGTCGCCCTCGGCAGCTCTGCCTCAGCGCTCTCTCGCTCCTCCTCATCTCCATCCTCGGGGCTCCACAGCTCAAACAGGAAGTTGATGAATGTGAGTTTTCTAGACAACGACCGTGTGACACGAGCAGTTTGCAGCACACTCCTGTCGCCACGTAGGCGCCGCTCTGTGTCAGCAAGCTGCTCCTTCATCAGCGACAGGAAGTAAGTGTTGCAAAGCTCCTGCAGAGGCTTCAGATGGTGCTCAGACCTGCAGGAGGTGGATGTGGAGGTGGAGACAGAGAGACAGGGCTCAGGAGGCAGTAACGCTGTTGGGTCAGTGAGGGAGTCGGCTGGATCATAAGGGAGGAAGTCTGGCTGTTTCAGCTTCCTGTTTGGGTAGGAAGTGACCTGGCGTAGGAGATCTCTATGATTCAGGATTGAACGCTCAACAGCTTCAAGCTCATCTGCTGTTTCCCCGTCCTCTGTGAACCCATTTGCCGTCCTCTGAAGTTCTGTCTCCTGTTGCAGAGTCAACCGAGTGTACCTGAAACAGTCACAGAGAATTTATTTAGTCAACAGACTGTGAGAGCAACTTAACATCAGGCTAAAATGTTTCACTGCCCTCTCTGCTACACCTGTACCCACACCCAACTCTGATGTCACAGCACAGTGGAGTACACCTGCACATCACTACAGCAATATGTGAATTTTTACCACCCTAGGTCAGACAAGATTTCCAAGAGGCGTGAAGTTTAATCCAAACCTTCCACACACATGTAGCCACAAGGGTTTGACTTTTCATTGTCACCTGCCCACATCGACAAAGGTGCAAACTGCACAGAGTCTTTAATTTTGGATGTCTGCATGGACTTTATGTGCCATATACACATGTGGGGTCACATCCTGATACTTAACAGTCAGTTTAGTGAAAATAGAGCTACACTGAATTGCATGACGAATCTGGAAAAGTACTGGAAATAAACAAGTTGCCCTTGCTGCAGTGGCATCTCCCAACAACATGTGCACATTTGAATGCCAGCTGTCCTATGAAGTGAACAATTTTATCCTTTTGCCAGAATAAATTAACTCAACCAACTAACTGTGGTGTCACTGTGAAAAATAATATTAGTTGCTCTAATGAGGGCAGAGACAGCAAAGACAGTGACAATGTTGTCCAGTGTTTCAGTTTAATGAGTGAGTAATGCGTTACGGTTGCTTGTAGTGACGACAGCTCTTGAAAACCTGAAGAGAACATGTAGCTGTCCTCATATAAGCCTGCAATTTTACCTAAAATCAATTTTAAATACATACTCATATGTGTTAATTATCTACGCCAACCATTTACATAAGCTACTAAAAGTAACCATGGACACATTAGGCTGAAAGTCACGAGTTACTACAGCCATTAAATCAAACAGTTTTAACATTTATTTTGCAGACAGTTAATTATGTCTGCATTTTATGCCAAAGTTTGTCATCAATTAACTAAGATAACTTAGATAACTAAATCTCCAACCTATGCTGCTGTCACTTTCAGCAGGCAGCAGCAGCAGCAGACACTGCAGAAATGGCAGCGCCACAAGTTAGTGGATCACACAGAGTAGTTGCTGGATTGGTGAATATAATGGAATTTATTTTATTGAGATCAGTGCTGAAAAAATTAGCCAGTTATTCAATCACTGGACTGATAGAAAATTTGTCAACATCTATTTTGATATCAACTGATCTTTTAAATCACGTATCAAGTTAAACTGCCAAATACTCTTTGGTTTCAGCTTCTTATATACAAAGATGGGAAGCTGGCTGCTTTTGTCTGGTTTATATTGGTTTAATTCAATTTAATATCTTTGAAATGGACAACTTTGTGACATTATCTAGCCCAAACAAACAGGAATCTGAAAAAGATGCCACACGCTTCTCACTGGCTGAGCTGAAGTAACACATCTATGTGGCTGGGCATTGCTTGGAAAATGAGTATACCAGCACCAATACAAGTACTCTTAAAGTGATACCAACACCAATAGAGTACTTCATTTGATGCCCATAATGTGAATGGAGTGGTGTGTTGTATAGCCATACTTTGAAACGTTTTGGTGGCATCTCAGTGTGCTGAACTTGTTTATCAAAAAAGTGCCATGAAAAGATCCAGTCTAAGCCCTGAATGTCCTCAATTCCTAGAAACGCCCCTACACACACCTGTCCTGTGCCGGACCGCTGCGACTGGACCCTGGCGTCCTGTCATTTTTAAAAAGTGGCACCTGGGATAAGCAAGTTGAGTTTTCCTGCTGTATGGGTTGTAGCTGCTGCCACGAATGTGTGAGCTCCACACCAGGGATAGTTGTGAGGGTCCAGCCACCTGTACAGACAACTGACAGGGCTAAGTGCTAGCAACACATGGCTTACGTTACCTAACGGTTATTAAACTGGTTTAAAGACAGACTTTAGTTTTTTCAGTGTAGGTGTGAGTTTGTTTGGGTCAGTTAATCGATGTTAGCCACTGTTGTGTTAGCTTGTGCTAACTGTGCAGATGTCAAACTGACTATTCACTGGGGGAGAGCGGCTCTGGAGATGACAGCAACAGACAGTTTGCTGATCTGGTGGGGAGTTGGGAAGGTGCAGGATCAGACCCCCGGTGTAAAAAAGACTGCAGGTATCATTTGACACAAGACCTTTTGATACCACTTGGTACGTGTTTATTTCTGTCGATACCATAGAGGTATTGTGTTCGATACCAGGCCATATCTGTGTAGCTATGATGGTCTGTGCAACATTAATTTCATCTCATATCTGCAAGGGTCCACCCAAAACATACAGTATGGCTGCATGGACCCTAAAGCACCGACTCTCTGCACATGCAAACTAAAGTCCCGCATACCCAGAGGAGTTTCACTTTAAGTAGCTGATTTGACTTGTGCTCAGAGCTGTGTGGGTATGTACAAACTACACTTGACTGACACAACTGTCGCTCACCTGTTAGCTTTGGTGCATCTGTTAGGGTGGGACAAATGACACATTTATCATTCTAATTGGTACATGGAGTCCAGTGACCTTACATATTCCCAAAACAGCACAGGTGTTTTCATTTGACCTGGCTAATTAGACGTCTGCTAAGGGTACAGTCACATTATGTTTCAGTCCTACTGTGTACGAGAGCTGCATTTTATAGTCTGGTAGTGTGTTAATGCAACAACAAAAAATCAATAATGATACATGGGCTTAGGATAGTTTTTTAAAGATAAATGATTTCTGTACTGCAATTTCTTGTTTCTTACTGAAAACTTATTGGCTGATATGGATCTGGATCTGTAATAAGCTACTATCAGCCAAGTAGCCAGTGGTGGATGCCGATGTACATGTATATTGTTATTTCATCAAAGTAGATCTTGATCTTACTCAAGCTCCTGTAATTTCCTCTGCAGCTCCATGGAAAACGCTTGTCTGTTTCCTGTCTTGAGGCTGTCGGCGGCCTGAGAGAAGCTTGTCATCAGCTCAGAGAAGTTCTCCATCAGCTTCTTCTGGTCTGAACACACGTATGCCATGCAGAAAGGACGCACCATGCCCCGAGCCTCCAGGTCATACAGGGTCATGTGGTGAACATATGCGAAAGCGTCTTGGGCTGAATCTCCCAGAACCACTTTGGAGTCCTCGCTGAAGTTGAGGCGGGGGCCGGGGGATGAAGGAGGGGCATGGCAGGGGCCGGACGCCTGGTAGTCCACAGACATGATGCGGACAGAGAAGTGGTTGAGGTCGAATGATCCGATGACTCTGGGATCATCTGGTATCGTCAGCACAGGTTTGGGTCCCACCTGGAAACACACAGCAAAGGTTTGTAGAGACACAATATGATATAAACATTCACCCATAATGACTATTTCTGTCTTCACTGAAATCTGCACACTGAGACACAGTAAAAGGTCTGAATTAGGTCTGAAAGGATTAGTTGTTTTACACAAAATTAATCACCAACTATTTTAATAATCGATTGTCATTTTTTTTAACACCTAAACACCTAAATGTTCTCTTTTTGATGTTTTGAGGTGTTGATTGGACAAAACAAGACTTTGAAAACTTCACCTCGGGTTTTGAGATATGATAGACTTACTGTCTGACATCTGAAGACATCACATTGGGCTCTGGGAACTTGTAATGTTGTAATTTTCTAAAATTCTTTATAATCTAAAACGACTGATTAATCAAAAATATACAGCAGACAAGTCTACACCAGGGGTCAGCAACCTTTAGTATCAAAAGAGCCTTTTTTGTCCAAAGATAATCCAAAAAAATCTGCCTGGAGCTGCAAAACATATTTGAGCCTGATGGTCACACTGTGTATTGAGTCTAAATTAGCCTATCGACATAAAAAATAGGTCTAAATTAGCATTCAAAAATATTTTTCATCACAAGATGGCTCCTCTGCAGGGGGCTATATATGGTTATTTGGTATTTTAAATTGCAGTGTTAGCAGTAAAAGCAAACAAATCTGTCCACCCACTATTAAATTCTGTATTTTACCCTGAGACTTTTACTTTGATGGATTTGAATCCATTGCTAGACTAGCTAGGGAAGCTCAAGACCAGCCACCGCTGTTGAGGTTTGGGAAATTTTAGAGGAAAAGGTGCCAGGTCATAGACATACAACGCACATTTTAGTTGATGAAATGTTGAAACTTATAGTTTAGTTTAGTTACTTTATTGTCTCCCTTGGGAGAAATTTGTCTTGGACACAAGAGATGTTTACATATAACACAACAGAAAAGCACATATCAACATAGAAACATAAGAACCAGCACCAGATGTCCACAATCCTTCCATCTCGCAACCCCGCAAAGAGCCACTGGAGAGGGGCTAAAGAGCCGCATATGGCTCCAGAGCCGCAGGTTGCCTACCTCTGTTCTACACAATGAAAATAAACACCTGTGAGTTTTGTGTCTGTACATTTTTTAACAATCAATATACAGGATATACTAGACTTACACTAACTATTTACAGGACACTACCAGGCAGTGTTGTATATTCAGAGTTACACTTTGGTCCTTATTCTTAGTTCAGTTGTGTGGTTCATGTGTGACGTGGCCTTAGTTAGTGTGTCTGTGTGTGATGGCTGCTCATCTTGTGAAGAATATTAATGCAATTTGTTCTCTCATCTTTCTTGCAAAGAGAGATGTTTATCTCACTGTGACTTCCTAAATAACGTCACACTCGCCCCTCTAAGTTGTGAAACCGTTACCACAGCAAACGCTGAGCTAATATTGTGGAGAAAATGCAGCAACATAACCACACGTCTAACAAAACTAAAGGATATAAGTTAATAAACTTGTATAAAAAGATTAAATATTTCAAACTTCCTTTTATTTATGAACTTTGGTGCTTTGTTGAATTTAAAAAAGCAGATGTAAGTCACATATGTGAATGTTATTATTATTGAATCCTAGAGAGTTACACTACAGATCTATGACACTGCCACCTTAGTCTATTGTTCTACATAGCCTTATCTATTATTATGTAATTTTCTATAATGACTCTTATCATTCTACACCTTAATATCCCCAAACTATTATTGTATACTTCGCTCTGCACATGAAAATGAGGAATCTCTTTGCACATTTACAAAATGAATGCACATAAAGCACATATATAAACACTGGCCTCAGCTACTGTACTGTATATAGCTTTCTTTTATGGATTTACAGTATTTTTCCTACTTAATGTTTATTGTCCTCCACTTACTGGATCTGTAAGTGGCTTCAATCTGTTTTTATCTGAGGAAAACTGCAGGGCAGCTTTGGACAGGTGCCTCTTGTAAAAGAGATTTTCAATCTCAATACTTCCTGGTTAAACAAAGGTTAAATAAAAATCCTTACTCCATACTTTCGGTATCTTCGTCTGGTCTGTTTTATGTGCTGCTGTAACACATTTTATTTCCCCAGTAGAGCAATAAAGTTTTATTTCCACAGTTGTTCCTCCATGATAACTCCTACACCACACACTCTTGGTTCCCTCCAACATTACACCTGCATCACAGCAGGTACAGTATCTTTAATCATAAATAAAAAACACAAACCTGCTCTGAGAATTCAGCCACCAGTATGAAGTCTCTGTGAAACTGGGCGGAGGTGGTCCAGGGGTTGGGTGGAGGTAAAGGGGGGACAGAGAGCTCCTCAGGTAGACCCTCATGGTCCTCCTCTGCTTCCCCAAACTCCTCAGTGGCGGTGAAGGCCAGCAGGTCCGGTGACCCGATCATCTTCAGCCCACGGAGGATCTATGAGGAACCTGAAGATCACACATAGCTCGGCCCCGGCCTCCAGTCGGTGAGTCAGCTGTTCGGCCAAAACAACAACCGGGGACTTTAAGTACTTGTTGCGCAGTTGAGTACAACCATGAAACGAAAGCTGTACTAAATTAAAACTTCTCTCATGGCCCTCTCCGCTTCTCAACAGTCCCGTAAACAACTGTCAGGAACAGACTTCAGAGAAAACTTAACGGAGAAGCGAAACTTGCCTACGGGTAGTCACAAGGTTATGTTAGCTGACCTTTGTCCCGGGATTTATGTTCCTCTTTGTCGTAATTAGTGAACAAACATTCAGCCTAAAACTACTGGTGCCTCGGTGTCACATATTTGACCGGCAAACTGGATCTTCTGCTCCCATATTTAGCCATGTGACAGACGCCGGGCCGGGGACGCGCTCCTGCTGAGAGAGCGGCGCTTCATGAAGAACCAGACTGGAGGTCTCAAGTCTCACATACTAACGGACACTTCCGGTCAGCTCTTTCAAAATATTTTTATTTTTTTAACTTCCGCTAAAATACACAGTTAGGCCTACACTCAGCGAATCTAATGCAGTCAAAAACAGTCCACTATTATTGGACTGAATTGTTAAATAATTATTGAATTATTACTTATTAAATGCTACAGAACAAAACTACTAAAGTAAAAGTCGCGCATAGTATTTTTTTTCATCTGATTTGTTTTGTGTGCGTTGTTTTTGTTTTGTGGTTTCCTTCTTTGTGTTTTGTTGTATTTTAGGTAGCCTTGTGGAACATCTTGGTCAAGGGACTACAGATGAAAAATAGCCTTTTAGCTAATTCTGGCATTTGTATACAATATACATTTATTAATTTGCACTGTCCCTTCTTAAATAAACTAAAACAGGGTATTTTCAGAAACACAACAGCTAAACTAACCATTTAAGAGAATTATGAAACAAAAATTGTAGATCAGAGCTCCTAACCCTAACCCAACCCACACAGGAAAAGTGCACACACTATGACTTTTTACGAATTGTTAAATGGCATGCAATCACTTTATAAAACTACAACAGTGGACAGTGATATAGCTTATATAACACTCACAATTTTATACTTTTTAACACATTTTAAAGAAATAAAAGAGAGAGACAGCCTATGGCGTTTGACACTGACATTAATTACCTACACACAGCAGTTGAGTAACAGCTTCTGCTGGGGTACAGCCATGCCACTTGCACAAACTGCACACAGAACTGCAGTTCACTGTTATATTAGAACCAGCAGTATTAATGATTGCTATTTGCTTAATCTATTCATGATTATGTTTATATATGCTAATGATTATTTCACACAGTGGTGCATGGCTGCTTTTTGTTGAATTGCAATTTTTTTTTTAGATTTTCTATCAATATATTATGAGGGGAGGCATATGATGTGGAGATGTGCCCTTCTAGTATATTATAATTACTGTTTAGAAATGTACTCATTATGCAGAATGGCCCATTTCAGAATAATATTTCTCATGCCTGTGGATATTCTCATTCATCCAGGTCATAGTTATCTCAAGGCAATTGAATCGAATGCAACTGGACTTGGTTTTGTCTTAGAAGACGTTTCACTTCTTATCCAAGGCCAATGATGTCACTGGTTCGTTAGTGCTCCAATGGTGTGTCGACGACAGTCGTTGAAACTCCTGCTGCAACGGTTGTCACTGGAGTCCAGTGACATCATTGGCCTTGTGAAGACCTCCCCAGAGGTTAAATACCTGGGTGCTTCCACACCAGTTTGTCAGACTAGTTCCAGCCTAGTCAGACAAGCATGAACTGATGAAGCCTCTTGGATAAGAGGTGAAACGTCTTCTAAGACAAAACCAAGTCCAGTTGCGGTCGATTCAATTGCCTTGAGATAATATTTACCATGTTATCAGATTGTTATGATTAATGCAGGGGTGTCAAACTCATTTTAGTTCCTAGGCTACAGCCCAGTTTGGGCCGGACCAGTAAAACCATTGCATAATAACCTATAAATAACAACAACACTATACACATTTCCCTTTCTTCTACCAAAAACATTAATCCATTTACAAAACAGATGATGAACAGCCTGAGATGTCTTTGAAAAATAAGTGCAATTTCAACAATATATCTCAGTTTTCCCCCACATTTAGTCAATGTACTAATCACTGTCATTACATGTGCATTTTCCCCACACATTTCACCAGATCACTACACCACACTAAAGTGGAAGCTATTGAGCAGGCAGGTTATCCCCTCCTTTACAAACCATTTGCAAGTCAAGAGTTTTGACTCCAAAATGTTCTGGAGTAGAAGTAAATAATACTGAAGTCCAAATAGGCTATATAAAATTTTTACTTAAGTACACTACTTCAGTGAATGCCACCACTGGTTATGTTAAGTTGTAGTTGAAACTGTTGAAAAGAGGTGTTAGTTCAACTGTCTGATCATACACGGAGTATGTGGTGCTATTTAACTGTACTGCTTTAAACTGACTTTTTTTTTTGTCTATCTCATTCATATCAATAAGGTTATTGGTGGGTACTACTGGCTGGAATGGAAAATAATATTCATCATTATATTTCTGTTTGTTTATCATCACCTGAAAATAAGAATTGTGTTTTTGTGATCTTAAAATGAGCCCTTCATATGTACATATGGAGCGGGTCGTCTTCCACGGAGCATGCCAGGTATTTAAGGTAGCCCAGAAGAGAAGAACCAAAAGTGACTCTGGAGAGGGACTTTCACATTTTCATATTTCTTGAAGGCTTCAGTAGGTTTTACTAAACCTTGGGAATGGAGGCCTGAGCAGAGGGGTATTCAGTTGGTTGTAATCTGGACTTTCACCAGTAGATGCCACTGAATCCTACATACTGCATCTTTAAACTGAGCCCGTATCACATGTTGGTAGTCATCCAGTTCTGTTGTTTTCAGCTGCTGGTAATGGATCAGTGAGCTCTAATACCTGACTGACAGTCACATGACATGATTTCAGCATTTTGATTTGCATGACACCTGTGGAAGGCATTAACAATGTTGCACGACTCTTTGATTAATGGCAGGGGGCGCTACACACTGGGGAAAAAAGGTGTATGTCAAAGTTTCCCATGCAACACTGGGCCAAGACTCTCTTTAACACATGCTTTAAGTTAGACAAAAAATTCAGGGCAAGTGAGAACGAATCTAAACAAATGCTTTAATTTTTATTTGCAGTTTCACTTCTCATCACAGAAATTCAATCGTCTTTCACTCAGCAAGAAAAAACACAACTGAAGAAATGGCCACAACATTCATTCGGTATTTAAAAGCAACTGCATAAAATTATTAGGCAACTTTAATCATAATGTTGAGGGTTAGTTTACCCAAACAAGATTGGCAACATAACGAACACTAAATAAGACAAACAAAATCAAGCACACCTTCATCTCCAGTATAATAAAATATACACTCTGTGTTTAATAAGTCCAGCTGAGACAGACTGAATGGTTTCATTAGTGCATCAAAGCCTGTTGGTTTTCAGCAAGTCATCATTTTTCTGCATAGCTAGAATATATTAAAGAAGATTTAGGAAAATAATGCAGAGCACACACTACCAATAAGAGGCTAGAAAGAATGAATCAACCGTCCTCTGCCGTTATTAGATATACTGAACTGTATGTGGCCGTGCAGGATGTTCATGACTCCCTGTGAAGAATGATGATCACACAAACTCAAATGCAGACTTGGATGTGGTGTTAGAGTCAGGAACCTCCTGAAGCAGTGTTTCAAACATCTTAATGAACACTTCCTCAGCTCCTTTTCTCATCAGGTCTCTTTTCCTCGGGGCGATTTGTTTAGCGTGATTATCACTTTCATATCTGTAGTCTTCGCGTAGCGTCTCCTCCTCCAGTGTAGACAGTCCATGGTGCCGGCCATTTGTCATCTTAACTCTACCCTGTTCCCTTGCATCAAAGCAGGACGGAGGAACTAAACAAGAGTAGGCAGTGGGAAGAATACAACACCTCTGCCTTGAACCAAACATCTTGGACTATAAAGATTACTCCTTCAATCCGCTTGTGTGTGTGTGGTATGAGAGCTTGAGAGATGTGTGTGCAGACAGTTATATGAGCAGTATTTCAGGCTCTGACACAGCGCAGTACAGCATGAAGCCCATCTGGTCCACCTGGTCCTCTGACAAGCCGCTCAGCAGATTGACAGCTGGCTTGAAGTAGCTGTGTAAAGCCCCTTGTTCGAGGTAGCCAATCAGCTCTGTGATACACTGCTGGAATCTCACATCCAGGCTCATTTCGGACCAGTCGCTCTCACTGTCACTGAGGTGCAGGATGAGATTGGCCAATGGAGCTGCTTCGAGCGGCCGCAGGGCGGGGTTCAGTCTGCACACCGCCTTGAGGATTTTAAGTGTGTGTCTGCGGTGTCCGTCGTCAGCAGTGTCGAGCTGAGCCAGGCGCTGCATCTCCCACGGGTAGAGGGACAGGTGCCAGGCGTTGACCCAAGGAGAGGTGAGCTCCGGCTGGGCGGTCAGAACCACATCCTCCTCCCTCAGCAGAGGCAGCATGGTGATAAACAAGGACTGATCATTGCTCGGTGCCCCGATTACATTTCCAGGCCTAAAAAAATAACAACAGGAGAAAAATCCATGAGAGAGAGAAAGCACGTCAAGTTCAGCACGCGCAAACATCACACAGAATGTTTAACCTGTATTAAATCACATTTGTTTATAGCTAATAATACAAGCCATTCAGCTTTACAGAGAACCATGTTTTTCTTTTAGCATCCTGTTTCCTGCAGGGATTTGAAGGTTTTTTCTTTAATTGCCTTTTTAGTACTTTCATACACAAGACTGTAAGAACGCTGTTACACATCAGGAACACAAATTATCACCAGTTCAATAGATAGAACAGGTGAATCAACAGCGGCTTACCACTGAAAGTTTTATGATTATTTGGAAACTGATGTCAACACATTACATTAGCTAACTGCTGCATCAACAGCTATTAAATAAATATGTCATCACTGGCTTCTGAGCTTTAAATTGTAACTTCTAATAGTGCATGAAACCCATTAAAACTGAGCAATTCATTTGTAATTGAATCTCAACTCTGTTCTTTATTGTTGTTTTCAGACACACACCGAATCTCCAGTCTCAGGTCTGGTCCTCCCAGTACAGGTCTGACGAGACAGTCCAGGGTGCTGCTGATGGACGGCCAGTTTATTGTTTCCATAACAGCTTTACTAAACATGTTCACAACAGCTTCTGCAGACAGGTAACCACCCACCAGGTACCTGCAAGACACAACAAGAGACTGTTTTAGTGGATGGGCCAGCCTTCCTACAGAATGTTTCCCTGCAAACCTTTAGCTGTGATTAAGTGAGTCTATTACGGCTGCTTCAATGTAAGATACAAAGGCTGATGTAAAAGGTGTAGCATCACCCTTTAAGCTTAAATTGCTGAATTCTGTTGCTGGATGATGATTTAACTACATCAGTGAGCTGTCTATGGTTTCATCACTTTCACTTTTTATAATTACACATATTCTGATTCAATATTAATATAGAAAAAATGATTCAGGCTTTAAAGGACCTCGTCTGTGAATGTCTGAAATGTAAATTACAACATAAATTACTAAAAAGATTTAGTTGTACAGAAAAAAAAAAAATCGGTGACTATACTGAAATTACTGATCGTTTCAGTGATTTTTTTAAGCACAAATGCCAAACATTCTCTAAATCCAGCCTCTAAAATGAGACAGCTGGTTGCTTTTCTTTGTCACATCATTGTAGAGTGAAAATTTGGGGGGGTTTGCACTACAAGTTAAAAGAAACAAGACGTGGGAAGATTCCATCTTTGGTTCTGCAAAGTTGTCATGGGCACTTTTTGACTATTTTATGACATTTCATAGACTGAACTATTAGAAAAAAGATAATCAGCAGAACAATCAATTATGAAAAAAAACCCATGAGTTTTGGTTATTTACTGATTTACATGGAAGAAATGTTGGCATATTCATTTTTCCTAACAATCACATCTGCATAATTTGTAGCAAAAACATATTTGTAACTAATAAGCAGCTGTGTTTTTCTTACAGACTTAGAATATGTAGCCCCTTTCCCACTGCACACAAAAAAACAAAACACTAACATCTGGCTTTTTTATGAAATGGGAACAGTTACAATTGGCATTCGCACCCGGGTCAAATGACTCTGCAGTAGTCACAGGTATTTATCAGCTCCAGCTCCAATCCGCTTCCATCTGCAGTGATGGAGATACAGCACCTGGGTGGACATGTTAATTTTAGCCCTATGTCGGCGCAACGCAGTGACAGGCCACGAAAATACCATTCGTCTCCACCCAAGCAGCACTCGAACATTGTACAAAGGTAATTGCCACCGAGTTTGAAAGAGAGACCTGATTAAGTAGGAGATATAAAAACCACTGTAACATTTTTACTGCGCTCCATGCTTTTTTCTGCTGCTTACTAACCTGTTTTCAGACCAGTCAGTGATGTTGAACGTGACACATCATTGAAAAAACACACACATAGCAAGGCATACTCATTTGCTGCAGAGCTGTGTGCACAACTCTGGTCTACTGGCAATGGGAAAGCAGTCAATCAACTATTTCTAGTAGGTTTTCCTGTGTTTAAAAATGATGAAGGGGACTTGTGGAGGGGAGAACAGATCAGTCGACAAGTTTGGGATTGGATCAATCAGAGCTGATCAGATCGATAGTTTAGAGGAGCAGCTGCTGCAAAGGCAAGTAAAAGCAAACTTTTAGAGCCAGCACTGGTCTGTGAGGTGCGCGGTTTCCATGGGAACTCAGCCGGTTTCATTTGAAGTGGGTTGGAAAAACTATGGACAACACTAAAATGAGAACACTGTTGTTCTAATAAATAGACCCATATTATTTTTATATGAACTAACGAACTTTTAACTTTCATTTTCTCTGCAGCAGGCGTTTTAATGTGCCCAGAGTATGTTGGGTTCATAACCACGATTCATATATTCCAGATGCGCTCCAAATGAACAGTCCAGCTCCTTAGAAAAAAAAAAAGAAAAAAAAAAAGTGACAGCATATGCTGAATGAAAATTAAATGAAAATTATTATTCCTAAATTTGTGTGATCACCTGTCCCAGTAGCTGCGTCCTCTGGGAAAATACTCCAGATTGACCCGTCTGACCATCCAGTGCAGCGGGTGTGTGAGCAGTGTCTCCTCTCCTGGGATGAGACGCCACAGAGAGGCTTCCAGCTGTAGAGGCACCAGCAGACATGCATGGTCCGCACTGACCACCTGAACACAGAAATAAACCCAGGTGGCATTCATCTAACTTGGTGTACACTGTCACTAAAGGGAAATAAAAGTTATGTAAAAGTGTATTATCAGCTAAAAAAAAAAAAACATAATGTGTGCGTACCTGCAGGTCATCCAGCAGAGAGCCTCCAAGGCTCATTTCTCCCAGGGGCATGTCAGGGAGACGGCTGCGCAGAAAGCCCTGGATCTCAGTGCAGATGTCCAGAGCTAGCGACTGAGCCCTCTGGACCTCATGTGAAGCGAGTGCTGCCCTTGTGTGATAGTACTGCTGCAATCGCTCCTGAACACATTTCATACAGTTCTCCAGTGATTCAGAGCTCAGGCACACAGCTACTCTACTATGTCCATGTATGTGCATCCTTCACAGAGGCACAAATACTGTGTTGCTGAGATAACAGCTCTAAACATGCAGTTAACAAAAGAGTTTTTACACTTCCACGGGGAGTACTTGCAGCTGTCTCTTGAGTAATATAATATTCAAAGTCATTCTGTGCCTCTAAGCAGACTAAGGAACTCTGACAGGATGATGCTCTGCCAGTTAAGTTGCTGCGAGGAGGAAAACTATTTTGTTACTGCTGTTAAAGGAGCATTTAAAGGTGAACAATCAATCAGCAAGTGTGGGTACTGCATTAAGTTTTATGGTGCATTAAAAGCCCTACCCATGGTGCAACATGAGTGGACCTAAGAAGCATCAGAAACAATAGTAGCTGCCATAAAAATATTGTGGTACCTTCACAGAAACAAGTCGTTTAAATTACAAGTTTTGGCAAAGAAAAGTCTAATTTAAGGTTTTCTTTTTAGGCGTACACTCCCAGTATTCATTGTGAAAGCACCGTTCCAGAGATGCAGAATAGAAAATTAAGATGTGTAACTATTCATAAAAGATACGATTTGCCTAAGCTTTCTTTAAAGGCAAAAACCATTGTTTTAAATCCCCTCATGTCCAGTCATGCGTTCGCGGCCGCTCTACTAAAATTTACTGAACAAATTGTTTCATGTCGCTCACACAGAACAATCCACAACACTTCTGCTTATGTGGATGTTCTGCACACTGACTCAAAGCTGTTTTCATGCTTGTTTGACTTCTTCTATACAGCCAGTGCACAAGCGCACACAGTATTTTGATTATGCAGGGCTCTCGGGGCTCTGTGCAGCCTAACCAGTGCATAACAATGCGTATCCCCTAAGCACTGCGCTTTACAAAACATGTTACACACGCATAAATGAATGAGCCAACACTGAGCAGAGCTCTTACAGCAGCTGCTATGACTGAATGCATAATCTATGCCTTGAAGGGCTCAGAGGGGAAACGTCAGAGCGTACCTGCAAACTGAGAACGCACAGCTGGAGTCTCTTGGACTTGGATTCAGGTTTGGACTCCAGAGAGGACGTCTGAGGTTGTTGGCACAAGTCAGCTGGTTGAGAAAGAAGTTAAAACAGTGGTCAAGTAATGATAAGACCGCCAGAGTGATGATTAAAATATATATATGATGATATACATCTCTATTTATCTGTGATATTTTTGTGTGTCATTTGCCTGAACACTTTTGGTGCTGACATATAGCACATACCTTTCTGCTGTTTGGCCGCCTTGGCAACATGTTTCATCACCACACCCTCTATGCCCTTCTTGATCAGTGTGGGGGAAGCAGAGACCAAACTCAACTCCTCCCAGCTCTCAGCCATCTTCTGCTCCACCTTCTCATCATCAGCTGCACGGCCTGCGCGCTCTATCAGCTTAACACAAAGACTCATTGTCACAGACTGCACTGCATGACTGATGATGCACTGCCCAGATACAGAGTGCATACGCTGCAATAAACCTTGGGCAAAAAATCTAGATTTAAGCGGCACAAAGATATCTTCAGCTTCAAGGAACAGGACCATCCTGAGGAGTTTCATGTTTTAGTCCATTAACTACAAATTACATATTTTGCATTACTGCTGACCATTTTCCAAATGTATTTTTGACTAATTTCCTGTCGTCCAGGCAGCAGCAGATTTACATTTAATACACTACTAAACAAAAAAAATCACAACATGTTGGACACACTCTAGGTACTGTATTATTGTGAGCATTTTACTGCTTTCATTTACTTTGTCCACTTAGCTGATTCCCAAGTCAGCTGCCTAACAGCAATCATTTTAACACTCAATATTCTCAAGACAGATTCAACCTGGAAAATTACGATTCTGACCATACTGCCGGATTGAATTACCAATCACAAAGCTTGAGAATGCAAGTGACCTATTTGTAGTCTTACAGGGTGCCTACTGGTATCAAACACTTAACTTTAACACTTTTTAGGACCCCGTCAAGATCATTTTTTAACCATATTTAAGACTGATTATTGGACAAATCATATTTTTCTTTGTCAACAACTGCAAGTAGGTATAAGAGTAGGTAGTATATATGTAGTGAGATTTATCTACATTTTGCCAACAGGTAAGCGCAACTATAAAGCAAAAAGACAGTATTAGGTTCCAGGGCTAAACAATTACAAGAAGCAAGTAAAATGCCACGTCGGACTAGTTAATGTAGCAACTCACTGGTGGTAAAAAAGAATTAAACACATTGTTGTTTCCAGAGCAGATGATGGTAGCTAAGTAATGTGTCATCTTGCTCTCTTCTCATCTCTACTGACAGTTGCACGTGTGCAGTACCGATCAAACACTTGTGAGAAAATGATGGCAGGTATAGACAAAGTTAATGAGCTGAAGTGCAAGTGAGCATTTCTGAAACAGCAGCTTAGTTGAGTTAGAAGAGAAACCTGGTGGAGAAACTCCAACTAGGTCTTGCACAGTTTCCTGGAAGGCTTTAGTCTTTGTTATTTGATCACCACTAATAAATAAAACAATTTGTATTGGAGCAAGTAAAACTTGACTTTGGGCAAATAGATTTCTGACTCTCTTGCCCGACCGCAAGTGGGTTAGAAAGTTGAACTCAGTGGTAGTTTTGATGATTTGTAACATCAGAAATATGGACGTTCACACAGAAGAGCTCGTCTCATTATGATGAAAATAAATTTAAAGATGAGTAAATGAAATAGATAAAAATGTTTGAGGCAATTAAGACCTCGAAAATTCAAAACAAAGATTAATATAAGACATTTAAGACCTAAAATTTAAAATGTAAGACATTTTAAGACTTTTTAAGGACCTGCAGACACCAAATTAACAATTTGCTGTTTTTGTATGATATTCTGCAACTTTCTGAATGTACTTTCCAGCATACAGGTAATAAAACAGCTATAAGATGAACTGCCAATCTATAAGTGCACATGATACTGTTTTGAATTCTAGCGTAGTACTTATGCATTAAATATTCATGGAGAATCCTGGGCTTTTCAGCTCTTTTCCACCCTAGGTCAGAATTTTTGCAGTAATGAATACCTCCTAATAGAGATGAATGAAGAGTGCATGAACGACGCACTGATGTGGTACTAACAATCTCAAAAACACTCACCCGTTTCACTGCCAGTGTAGCAATTCCAAGCATGGCAGCCCCGCCAACTCCCAGAACCAGCCGGGCATTAGACAGCAGGAAGTCAATCACCATGGCGATGCCATCCTCTCCTCGCCTCCTACTGCCCTGGAAGTTCATTGCTTCCTTTTTTGTTGTTAGCCTTGGGAAGGAAGAATGCATAAATTCAAGCAGGCAGAAAGGAAAATGAACTCGACTTGCAGTTGTTATTTATCTCTGGAAATCATGGGATGCAGCTGCACTTCCTCATGAAAGTTATTAAATCAGAATAAACCCATCAGATGGACTGACAGGATATGTTATGCTGTATTTTTATTCAAATAAAATAAAGCATAGATATCCAGCAAACTAATACTCAAATATGTACAAACAGGTAGAAATGGAAAAATGAGTAAAGAGACTTCACAAATGCACGGCACAAAGGGTCACTGCATGGTTTGATGTATGTGAAAACACTGCAGATTATACACACGTGAACACCTTTGATCATTAAAACACTAAATACAGGAGTGTTATTTGAAGAAATGATGTTCATCCCCTTGGAGAATCAGTACCAAGCAAAAGTAAAGCTGTTCTGGAGACATATGAAGACCAACACCTTACTTAAACACATTTTAAAAGACTTTTTCCTTAAATGTGTCAGAAATATCTCAAACGCAGATGGCTTCATGCTGACGAAGGGCTCACTGAATAGTTTAGATAAAGATATGAATAAAATGCTACTGCAGTCACCAGATCTCAACCGAGTTGAACACAGATGAAAGATTTTGTATCACTGTCTAAGACAATGCTCTCCACCATTGTCTCCATAAGAGCAAATGATATAATATAAACATTTATCTCTGAATCTATTTAGTGACATCTGTGTCTCTGATGCTATACGTCCTTTTGTTATGTCTGGCTATGTTTGTTTTTCTCTCCATCTGCTGTTGCAAAGGAGAACTTGATCATAATTTGTGGATCAATAAAAGGTTGTATATATTTATGAGATGCAGGTGAATGGTGTTCATCCTTCCAACAGAGTTCCACAGACTAAGCAAGGAGCATAGACGCTTTTCTGAAAACTTGTGGTGGGCTGACTCCATACTAAGACACTTCACATTGGTTTTTCCTTTGTCACCCATCTGTATGTGATCATGTTATAAATATACGCTCAGTTTGAACAAAACTTGAACATGCTCACTGTGCTTGTCATATTTATCTCCTGGCACCTGAGATCCAGAAATAGCAAGGGGACATAATCCTAAACCATTTCAACCAAGTGCACGTCCCCTTTCCTTGCCAAAGGTACAGGATCCCAAGAATGGAGACATGCTCTATTTATAGACCCAATACATGCCTGAGTCACACCGGCTGAGTCAAATATATAACAACCTCCCCTGTCAAGTTACAGTACAACAAATGTCTGCAGCTCTCTCAGTGCTGGGGCGACACGTTCAACATCAGACCAAACTTCACTTTTTTGGTTTAGTGTTAGTTACCTTACCATCAGGTCGAGCAAAGGACCCCTGATATTGACATGTTACACAACACTGATTACAGCTGCAAACATATGAAGCAACTGATAAAAGTATAGATCAGTGAGACAATAATGCTATTTCTCAATATGCTTTTAGTTGTCTCCGGCCAGTACTTCCATAACACAGTTTATTCTGCAATTTAAGCTTGAAATATATCTAATATAAAGTATTTCTGATATATTACCTGTGGCAGATTTATAGCAATTGCAGCATCACACAACACCAGGTTGTTATTGTAAGTGAGGGGACATGCAGCCTCTCTAGACCGGACTGTCGCAAAGAAAATGCATGAATAAAAATGCTTTCTTTGCACTATTATTATTTGTGTTTGTGAGATACTGTACTGACCAAAGGTGGCAGCACTGCAATGCAATAACGACAAGTTGTTACATGAGGACACTGCAGAATAAGAGCACTTTGACATCTCCAGCAAGGACCTTAAGCAAAAGATTTTTAAAACTTAATTTATAGTATGAATACATGTCATCCTGCTGGCTGGATTGCTGACAGCTTATCACATTGACTGCATCACCCCCTGCTGATTATTTATGCAATGCTGACGCACTTCGACACTGCCACTGTGTACATCACGTACTGCACGCCACATCTTTAAGGACTAATATCTCTCTGTACATTGTATTGTTTATTTTATTTTTATTTTTAATACTGTGAATTCCTAGGATGTATTTCTGCACCTTCCTATCAACTTCTACAATTTTAAATAGATATATGGGACATATTTTTAAGCATTGTCTTAAAAATACTTCTATTTTCTATTCAATAATTATGTTTTTTGTCTACATGCACCCAACACCACAACCAATTCCCTCTATGTGAAAACCTACTCTGTAAAAACAGTTCAATGTTATACTAATGACCCTTTTTCACCCCTGCTCCTCCTCCTCCTCCTCCTCCTCCTCCTCTTCCTCCTCCAGTGTTTTGATACTCTACAAATGTAACGCCAGAGACTGGCAACGTGACAGAAACATAACACCATAAATGTCCATCTAGCTGACCAACACAACCAAGAGACACACTAATGCTGGGTATTTTAGCAGCATGAAAAGAAGCAGTAAACGGCTGCCAACTCCTGCTAGCAGCTAACGTCAGTTAGTCAAGCTAGCCAGCTAGTTAGTTAGCCACATTAGCAGTCAGCGAGAGTTACCCCTCCAACTTCTGTTAAATATACTTACCACTCAGCGCGGAGATAAATACAACAGTCCTATTCCACACCATGAGTGTTTTGATTAAATCCGTATTTCGATACTCTTTAACAACAAAGCGTAAAGTTATTTCGTATCGTTGACGGACGTGTTAGTAGGGTAAATATAGCTCAAACAACGAGCTAACAGCTGTTGGCTTCTTCTTCGTCCTGTTAATTCCGGTTGGTATTCAACGTTAAGGTGCAACAGCGCCCCCAGGAGAAGCCCCGAAACACCGACACCAACTTTAAATACAGTGCAAGCAGGAATGAAACGTAACTAAATACATTTCTTACTGAACGTTTCTTAGCCTAAGTACAAATTTGAGATCTTTGAGATAGCTGTGCATTCTTTTGTGCAACTCTCCCTCCTCATTGCCTCTCTGTGGGGCTGTGCATTGCACATATTCTCTATAATGTGAACTTATGCACGTCCCCTGATCACAAAACTGTCCAGGTCTCTCATTCTGAAACAGTTATAGTGTAGGTATTCGTTATAGTATTTTATTGTAATCTTTCTATTCTATATTATTCTATATTTCATATACCTCCATTTTTTTACTTTCACATTTACCTGTACTTATCCGTGTCATTGGGCAGCTGCAACAGCTGATAAAGGCTTATCTTATTTTACTTGAGTATTTCTATTTAAGGGCATTTATACCCGGACTCTGCTATGCATTTCAGTGGCAAATACTGTACTTTTACTTAAATACTTGTATTTAACAGTTACTTGTTTCTTCTCAGACCAAGATTTTACTTACAAAACATATGAGTTTCCTGGACCAGTGTGTAAAATACGGCACATTACTACAGATTAAACTACAGTACATGAAGCAGATAAAATCTGACAGACTGCAAAATTGAAATACCACTAACATATTTATATTTCTCATTAGAAATGAGTCAATAATATAACACTTACAGGGGCCATTCTACCTAATGAGTACTTTATTGGATGTAGGAATTGTAATCTTTTATTTTAATAGTGTGGTATTGCCATTTTTACTTATAGGTTAAAGATTTGAATACTTCTTCCATCACTGACATTTAGTAACTATTTTAGTGCTTTTGATAACATCACAACGTCATCAGCGGCAGACCAAAAGTTTGGACAAATTCCAGCAGCTGTCCCCAGATCAAGGATGAACTTTGGACCTCTTATCTCTGAAACTCTTTTCCAATCATGCTGCAGATTGTTGGGATTACCGATCTGTCAGCTCTACTCTTTCTGTTTTTTAAATCAAAACCCAAATTATTATGAAAGCCTCAGAGCTGAAGCCAAATCTACCTCTGCATTTGGCTACAAAGACTTGATCATATTCATTTGAAAAGTAAATGAACATAAATCTTTCTATTTTGTGAGATGATGTTTTGATTTTCTTAACTGTAAATATTTAAAAGCACATATATTTTACTTGTTTTCGTTATTGAATTATTAATAACTAAGTTTGTATAAGATACAAACTTATGTACCAATTCTAGGAATATTAGGGGAAAACATAAACTAAATTTTAAAGATCCAAACTTGCTTTCCCTTTTCTTCTCACATTGAGTGAAAATCACCACTTAATTGATAAGATTCTTGAAACTTAAAGTAATATTTATCAATAAAACAACTATTCCAAAGCTGGAAACTGTCTGATTTTAATTGGGACGACAGACCAACTGCTTTTTAACAGCACACCTCTCTGCTCAGTGTCCTACAAGTACAACAAAACATTGACTCTATTCAGTGAGTAACGACTGACGTTAGATTTTATTCAGTAAAGGGAGTCTGAGCTGAGGCCATTGGTTTGTAAAATCCACTCAGAATGGGCTCCTGTCTGTATATCACAAGTGAAGACCCTGAATGATTTACAGATGAAGGGGGCCCAAAGTGGACAGAAAACCTAGATCATGCCTGGGATAATACACAGTGTATTGTACTGGTTTCACATAGCTGGATACAGAACTTCCAGCCATGTCACTGGTTCCCAAATTCCAAAGTTGAACCAAAAAGTCTGTCTGTTAAAAGTGGAAATAGACACATTTTTGGCTTTAATTTTTCAGTCTAAAGTAAATTTTGATTGCACAATGTAATGGCTATAGAATAAAGACACCATCAGCATTTAGACTGGTTACTTATGAAGCTTGCTTTCACAATGCATTTCTGTCTGCTACCAGGTGTAATCTCCTGCGAAAATAGAGGTTCAATTTACAGCAAAAAGCAATAAGAAGACAGAGCTTTTGTTTCTCCTGGTATCTATTGGCAGCTAACCCAAGTTACCACAGAGTATCACTGTAATTTCTTTGCAGTTACTGTCCCCAGTGGTGGAAATGGGGAACAGTGGGACAGCCGAAGTCACTGACTACATTAACATGCACAAAGTGTTCTGCCTTTTGCCCTTGTTTCAACA